AACCTTCATTAAAATAACCTTGATTATTTTTACTATACGAAATACCCTTTAAATGAAGTACAGCGTACTCTCAAAAGATTAAAAACTCGGTAAGTTAAATATTTTAAATTATTATTATGATATTTGCTAATAGCAAAACTTATTTTATCTTAACAATTTTGTAGTACACAACCTCCTTTATCCTGTGAGTTCACTGCTTCGAGTGTGCACTGTATAATACAGTTTTTTTACAGTCTTTTAGAACTGGCAGCAATACCACTTATGTTTTCGTGCCCAACTGTCAGTGGCGGAGCTTTGGTCAGCGAAGGTCCTCACATGCTGGCCTCCCCAGAGGCTTTGGTCATTACAAATGGTCGGACAGTCCAGAGTCCTCTTCCTGGTCCGGCAGTAAATTTTTTGTTTTTTTTTTGTTTTTTGCACATCGTTAAAGATGTGAAACCGCCTGCTAAAGCTCACTCAAGTGAAAAATTTGAAAACGTCCAGTAAAATGAAATGAAATGCGAGAAAGTAGAAACACACAAGGCCGGGAAAAAAGGACGAGAATCAGAGTCAGTGGCCATAAACGGGGCTGAACACAAGCGAAAGCGGAAGCTCACGTACGGCATATTAAATAAATTGGCATGGCTATGTGATGCGGTATGAACCCCCTCCCCGAATTCCAATGCCCCCCCTCCCAAGAAAGTTCCCCGAAGCGGAGTGATTAGACGGCAGTCATTAAAGACCACCACAACTTGTTACCGGAGCTTAGCTACTAACCGAATTTACGGAATGCGGAATAGGGAGTCTCCGGATTTTACCACTGCAAATTAACATTATCGAATGTTGGCTCTGACTTGACAAACGACACTTGATATTTTTCGGGGCTACAGCCTCGAGACCCACTCCATTCGCCCGAGTCCAGTCCATTCGAGGGCCATCAATTGACACAGAGAGCACCGAAGTCAACTGGGCAATGCAAACAACAAATAAGGGAAAAAAGACTGGTTAAAAGTCTGGCCTGGAAGTCCCCAAGTCGATTGCTTTAATACTCTTAGATTTAGTTGATTCAAATTTATTTGAGAACCAAATACCAAATGGCATTATGTATAAAAATTAATATATATTATTTAAATTGACTAAACTTATGAAAAGAGGGCTGTAAAAATATATCATATATATTATTTTATTCTCCCTTTAAAAATATATTTAAAATTAAAATTTTAACGCTATTCGCAGAAAAAAACGTTCTACCAATTGTAAATGATTTTAACTCTTATGTTTAAAATATTTAAGTAATAGCTACATACAAAAAAATACTTTAGTGGCTTAAAGAAATAAGAAATTCGAGTTTTACAAAAAAAGAAGATAGAAAAGAAGGGCACAACCTGCAGGAAAACTCACAGGATCGGGAGCGGGAAATGGGAAAGTGCGCGGGAGAGTGAGACAAATCGGTTTAGCCTAACTGCACTGACAGCCAAACACAAACACACTTGCAGAGGCGCACAATTGAATTTATGTAAGCCAGAGTTCTACAAGCGAAGCACAACAACAAAAAAAAGCACGGAGGAAACGGAAAATGGGGCCAGGAAAAGCCACATGGAAAGGCGGGGAAAATGCGATGCTAGGGTGGAACAAAAAACGCCAGACACACGGAAAAAGTTCGACTGTTCGGAATCGGTGCCTGGGCATTTGTGTTATCGGTAATTATTTTGCCACTTTTTCAAGTGCTCTCACCACTTTCTCCGCTTTCCTTTCCCCTGCAACTATCCCCGACCCTTTCCCCCCATACGCCGTCCCTTTTCCACACAGTTAAAGTCCCCAGTCGCAGAGTGAACTAAGCTTATTTACCCATTTTGGCTAATGGCATGGGAGGAGCATCCATCGGACAGACAGAGAAAAATAGTGCTGGAGAAAGAGATGGAGACGGTTGGGGAAAGGGGGGAGAGGGACGGCTCGAGGGGGTTAGAAAGAGATGGGTAAAGTGGTCCACCAGAGAGGCAGCTGCAGTAATGCGATAAAACTACACTACTCTACAGTGGAGCGCCGAAAAGTGAATAACTAAATCAAAATAATTATTGACTGAGGTGAAAACTTGGTGATAAGTTTATCTCTACGTTAGTAATACAATATTACATAAATATTATATTTAAATAATTCACTGTATCTTAAGTCGCATTTCAATTTCTTTTCTTGTGATTTATTTTCTAGACACTTTCACTTATTTTGGCCCACTGTGCTGGTCCTTTGTCTTTGCCAGCAACTTGAATGTTTGCTGTTCGGAGCCAAAACAGAATGCAACTGCCAACATATTTGACCCAAGTGGGTGTGCCTCTACTCCTTCCCAGATCCTGTGCCTCCTCGAAGTCCGACTGTGGCATGCGTTTGTTTGCAGACTTGATGAACTAGGCTCTGGGCTAGCTGTCTTCCATCACCCAAGATCTGTTTTTCCTGCGACTTTCCTGCCGGCTTTTCCCCCCACTCCCCTCCGGCATATTTGGCAGCACATAATTCGGAATGGCCCAAGGTCAGGCCGTGAAATATTAACTCAGTTGATCACTCAAAAAAAGGGGCACGACTAGAATAATCCCGCCATAAATTGCATTGAAACAAACAAAGTTCGAAAAATAAACTCATGTTTTTATGTTTAAAATTATATACATTCCTAAACAATCTTAACAAACAAAAAAATGCTTTTAAATAATTAGTCACAAAAGCAAGTTTAAGGTGTATCATGTCTTATCTGATCCGCAATTGTTTTCTAACATTCTTAATCCCATATTATAAAAAAAGTGAAATATACATGTATTATAATTTACATTTAAATATATTTTTCATTTATAATAAATACTTAAACCTATAAACTAAATTATAAATACTTTTGATACCAAATCGCGAAGATTTTCCTCTCTGTATGTCCGGTCTGTGTGTTGCAATTTTAATTTTCCCACCCAGCTTTTCGGTTAATCTTTTCTGTGTGTTTTTCTGCGTACTTGTGTCGCACTTATGTATCATCGTTTGTTTGGCTCTGATTTAATACTAGCAATGACACAATGTTGACGCCGGCCGAGGACAGGCAATTTAACTACGATGTCGCCACTGCAGCGCGTCAAGGACGTGGCATGACAGTCGGATGGTCACCCAGTCGCCCAGTCACCCAGCCACCCAACCACCCACTCATCATCGCCCAGGACCACCCTGGTCGCCCCTCAGTCATTCCGTGTCCCATTAGGCGTGGGCTTTTGTCTTTGCTATCATTATCAACACCCTGCCATGTTGCGTTCTTTTTTTTCTCGGCTCGCTGCCTATTCTTCTTATTCTCAGGCACAGTTAAAGAAAAATGTCGGCAATCCAAGTCGGCACTCATAAAGTAAACGTTGCGTATACGCGATATCAACGCCCAAGTATTGCGTATACTGTGCAAGTTAAACGTTGCGTATACGCAATAGCAACACCTATATATTGCGTATACGTAATGCCATTACAATCAAACCAACAAATTATATTCTTGATTTATTAGAAACATATTTTATCCCCTAATCCACAATTTAAGTTATTTTATATAAGTTATATTATATTACTCAGCATTGATACTGCCAATTTATTACGTATACGTAACATAACAAATACAAGAAAATATGTACAAATGTATTTTAAACTTTTAAAATTAAAAACTTTTTATTTTAATTTTCAAAAATGCATATATATTTTATGTGGTCAATCTTGATCCAAGTAAAATATGTTTTCAAATATTCAGCTTGTTTAGTTTATGAGTTTCTAGCAGTGTATCTGATGGTTTATGAGACTTTTTGTTGTCGCTTATTTTGCTTTCGCCTTCGTTTCCACTCAGTTCAAGTGTTTTGCATTTTATGCTTGGCACAAGAATAAAGTGAGAATATGAATTGCCGAGAGGGAACCTTAAGAATACCCTATTAAAATGCCAACCATGTATGACTAAATCGTGTCAGAAATTCAAGTCGAAAGTCGATTTACCAAAAAAAAACTGAAAATGGCATAAGAGAAAATGGTTTATTTATGAAAAATCGTTATAAATGTTTCGTATTACTTTTAAAATTCACAAGCAGCATTCGAATGAAGTAAGACCGTAATACCCATTTGATACCCACTATGTAGACAAATGTTTGTTGCCACGTCTTCGTCATTATCATCTGCGCTGCATCACGACAGTTGGCGTCCTTTTTCAAAAATTAACACAACGCTGGTCACACGCCACGCCCCCCAGTCGCCCACCGCCCCTATTTTCCGACAAGGCTAAACCAAAAGAAATAGAAATAAGGAATGAGACATGAGAGCAAAGAAATAAAAATGAAAAGAAATGTCATTTATCACAATATAAAAATTGTATGCTAAATAACACGGAATGACCTGAATTAAAAGCGGAGCGGCAAAAACTGAATGCCCATTATGTGGATATTTTCTTGGGACGCCGTAAGCTGAGAAAATTAACTACCAAATCAGGTCAAGAAAACAAAAATTGTGAGGACAATAAAGTCTTCAGATGGCCGCAGTTTTCATTGAGTGCTCTTTAAAAAACAGTTTCTGCCAAAATTCTACCATAAACTCTGGCCAAATTATTAAATAAGCTTTAAAATATCCTTTTAATTGAGGTTGAAAAGCCAAAGAGGGATTTGATTTATACATGAAAGTACATCATATTTTTGTTTTTAATAAATAATTATTTTTACTTTCTTACCTCAACTTTTATCTTCATATTTGCTTAATAAGAGACTTTAAATTGCTTATTTCAACTTAAAATATAAAAGATGTACCTAAACTGATTCCATGACTAACTAGATTCAACTGAATCGGTACAATTCAAATGCCTAACTTCAAACGGCTTAAATTTGCTTTAAATTTCCATGGCCAACTTGTCTAAAAAGCACTTTTTTTAGTCGAAATTGAGAAATTTCCAATCTAGATGGCCGTGGAACCAAGTGTCAAACGAAAGGGCCAATGAGCCCCAGGCCAGAGCTCCAGATCCTCAGTTACACGAGTGAGTTCAAACAGTTAACAACGTTCGGCGATAAAAAATTTGTGCGGCTTTTATTTGGGCAAAAAAAAAAACAGAAAAAAAAATTACAAATCTCATCCCCGGTTTTCCAGTTTCGATTTTTTGTTTCCTACCCACCAATTTACAAAATTTTCGCTATATTTTTGACAGTTCCATTTCGCTGAAGATGTCGAACTCGTACTCCTACTGGAATGGCCAGCCCGTGAATGCACCCGTCTATCCGCAGATGGGCGACCTGATGCAGTCCTCGGGCGCCGGAGGATCTGGAGCGGCACCTGGCGCGGGATCAGGCGGATGGCCTGGTCAGGGAGCAGCTCCGGCCCCGTCTCTTGGTCAATTTGCCGCCGGAGGAGCCGGATCTGGAACTGGCGGAGTCGGTGTCCAGCGGGGCATGTCCATGCCAGGTGCCCAGCAGCAGCAGCAGCAGCAGCAGCAGATGGGCATGGGCGACTATGGGAACATGAGCTCGCCGCTCACCTGCAACCTGCCCACCAACTTCTTCGGCCAGGGATCCGCCCAATTCGAGCCCTGCATCGACAACGGCGAGGCCTTCTGCGCCTACAACGGCATGGACATGAGCATGAACTACGGCGGAGGCAGTGCATCCAAGGGCGGCTTCTGGTAGGGCCACACTGACCCACCCGAGCCCCAATACACAGCAGCAGCAGCACCACCACGAGAATTTATGGGAACATAAGGATTACAAGGAATGCAAGGAACACAACAAGTTATACAGCCACGTCCAAATGTACACCACAATGTATTGGTATCGACATACCCGATCCACTCAACTCCACTCCACTCATCTCATCTCCACTCCATCGTCTCGCCCCAACTACGAGGATCGGCTTCTGTTCAAATATATATTTTAATGAGTCCTTCCTGAACTAATGTGCAGTGTTTAAAATTGGGCGGGCTATCGTTATTCACTGTATGAAAAATTGTATTATTATGTTTAATAATCGCACAAAATAATACATAAACTCCTTCCCAATCCAAATTCCATTAATATATTATAAATTATTGAGTTCATAACAAAAACTAATATAAACCTCTTACTATAATACTTACTATAATGGATAGGTAGTAATCCATTAATAATACAATCAATACAAAACCTAAAATATTCATGAAGTTAAGCCCTAGTCAAGCTAATATAAACCTTAAAACAATGCAAAACAATATTTAAACAATGAAGTCGGCCGAAAGCCATAGTATCTAAGACCCTAACCCCTCCGCAACTTTAGTTTATAACTTTAAGCTTAGTTTGTAAATAAATAAACAATAAATAAAAGAAATAAAACGGCATATTTTTTCATTAGTAATTATTACAGAAAACTAACAGCGATACTATGCTCTCAACTATTTAATTACTTTTTGAACTGCAATAGGTACTATTGCAATAATGCAGCTATTTCTTAAACAGTAAACAAATGCAGCTTAAATGACGTAGATTAGTTGATAAATGATGTAGGGTAGCGGGTGTGTCTACATTTAAGTGCCTAATACTTTAAATACAATCCGAGATAAATAAACGTGCGGCTAATTGAATGTGGGAAGCGCGTTGAGAACGCGACTCGCATATATTTTATATGCAAATTATTTAATAAGCTAATGTGTGGAAAAAGGTATTATTATTACAGCATACTAAACGGTTCTCATTTATTCTCAGAGTCGGATTAATTTAATTTAAGAAAATATAATTATACGGCGAAAAGCGTTCGAAATTCCTATTTTCTTTTAATTAAGGAATGCTTTAATTTAAGTCATTTGTCTTAATGTTTATTCAATTGAATAAGATCATACAAATTATCCCGCACTTTTAGTTAATATAGTGTCTTATTTCGTCACATGATACCTTATTACCTCAAATTTGTATTATTAAGCTGAAACAGTTTACGAGTTTAATTGACCCAATTTCCAGCCTTATGATTATCCCAAGCAGTCTATATAAATATATGTTCTTTTTACGCCAATTAAAGCTTCCGAAACCCGATCTGAGCAGTATCGCTTCAGTATCGTCTGGCTGGAGTGGCCAAAAACAATAGAAACTATGCAAATACAATGCCGTCCCCCTTTTTTGTATCAGGGGGCGTGACTGATTGTCTTGGCGATGAGACGGCAGTTTCTCAGCACGCCAACCAAATGCACTGGCAAAAATAGTTATCTAATCACGAGATTAAAGTCTTATAAGATATATAATATGATTTATCCCATAACCGGCAGATGATTATTTTAAATCATTTTAAAACTAAACAAATTAGTTAAAGTTGACTGAATTTATAATAAATCGTTTTATTTGGGCCAGTTGATTATTCCATTTTAATTTATGTAGCCTCCCTCTTTTTTATCTTATGCAGAACTTCCTGGTAGAATATTTATTCGTTTAAATTTATAATTAAAAGGGGAGATTGCTTATTTGTTTCTCAGTGTAGTTGGCTTAAACTCGTTCGCAGAGCGGCACGCAACTGTCGCACCAATATAGATATAAACACCTATCTATCCCGACCTATCTATATATAAGGCGCACCTTCGGCTGGAGATCCAAGTAGATATCGGTGGACATTCGAGCGGACAACATGGAGCGCTGGCATAATCGGGTGGCCGTCGTAACGGGCGCTAGTTCGGGGATTGGATCGGCGATAGCCAAGGATCTGGTTCTGGCCGGGATGACGGTGGTGGGATTGGCCCGTCGCGTGGATCGCGTGAAGGAGCTGCAGAAGGAGCTGCCGGCGGAGAAGAGGGGCAAACTGTTTGCCGTGTACTGCGATGTGAGCAGCGAGAGTTCCGTGAACGAGGCCTTCGACTGGGTGATCCAGAAACTGGGGGCCGTCGATGTCCTGGTGAACAACGCCGGCACCCTGCAGCCCGGCCAGCTGGTGGACATGAAGGTGTCCAGCATGCAGCTGGTCCTGCAGACCAACATCATGGGCATCGTTTTGTGCACCCAGCGGGCAGTACGCTCGATGCGGGAGCGCAAGTTCGACGGCCATGTGGTGCTCATCAACAGCATCCTCGGGCACAAGACCATGTCGTCCATGGAGGGCGTGGTGCCGGACGTCAACGTCTATCCGCCCAGCAAACACGCGGTCACTGCGCTGGCCGAAGGATATCGCCAGGAGTTCCTAAGCCTGGGCACCCGCATCAAGATTACGGTGGGTTTGCTTTCCATTTCCCCATTTATTATTATATATATATTAATGTAAATATACACTAATTTATTTTTGTTTATCTTAAAAAAGCTTTAAAGGGTTTAATGCTGTGATTTCCATTTCTCTAATTTGAGTATTAACAACACATATTTACCCTCTTTATTATTTCCAACTCTTTACCACAGCTAGTTATCATTATGAACATGATATTTTTGGACACTTGGATATATTTTCCAAATAAAATTAGTATTTTTCAAAACTCTTTTATAAGATATTTTAAAGGAAATATTTCTATCTTTCCTAAAAACATTATCTCCTAATAACCTTTTCAGTAAATAAAAACCAAATGACTCTGTGGCTTATAAGCAACATATATTTATGTGGTGTATATAGATTTTAGAAATTAATTGTTTTGGTCTACTTATCATTATGTTTATCAGTTTATTATGTTTTTATTTACCTGATCATATTCCAGAGCGTCAGTCCGGGCGTGGTGGATACGGAGATCTTGCCGGAGAGCATTAGGATTGCCATCAAGGACCGCATGCTCCACTCCGAGGACATCTCGCAGGGAGTGCTCTACGCCATTGCCACGCCCCCTCATGTCCAAGTTCACGAGCTGATCATCAAGCCCCTTGGAGAGACCATGTAGAGAACTCCTAAGTTCTTGTATTTTTTTTTAACATTTTTTTCTTTAGATTAGTAGTTTGCTTTTTAAGTGCATTCATTTGTAATGTGGTATTTTTTAAGCAGATTGTTACAAATTTGCTTTGCATGTTTCGAACTTTTATTTCGCAATAAATCCGATTTTTAAGCACACTAAATAATACAAGCTTTTACCATTTTTAAAAAGTACAAACAGCTTCCATTTGTTTTTATGGAAAGAATTTGTTGGCAACATAAACATAAAATACTTTTTAAATTCACTCTAGTTATTTGTAATAGTTTCCACAAACTATCAAAGGAAATGCGTTTACGAATAAAATTCCTACCCTAAGATTGTTTTTGTTTCAAGCGAAAGAATGATGGTAAATATAAATACGAGGAACGGCAAATGGCTTTCCGCATAATGGGACTGCCAACTAATTGCCAATGGCCCTAATGGCTTTAATTGACAATATTTGTTGGCCGCCTGCACATGGCTGTTGACCAAAGAACACAATTGAAATTTTACACAGAAAAGGCGAGCAATAAATGGGGGAAATAAAGAAAGTTTCCGTGCAGAAATGAAATTCTGTGTGGTCGAAATAGTGTCATGTGCAATTGGGCATCTTCAGGCAATTGCTTTATATGAGGAGGAAACCGAGTCATTAGAGCGTCCTCCTTTTTGCAGCTTCCTCTACACAGGAAAAAAATATATGTATTTTATTTGAAATATTTTACTATTTTAAAGACTACAAATATTCGTTTTAAATGGTCTTAACATTCGAACCCAAAAGCGGAGTGCTGCAAGTTCTAACCACTTTTTCAAACATTCAATATTATTTATTTTCCTGTGTAGTTCTTGCCGCCGGCAACACATTTGATTTTATTTGCGCTTTTTCCGAGTTGGTGTCCGTCCGGAAACTCAATTTGTCAGACAAATGCGATGGAGCTGCAGCAGAGGAGCATAAAACAGGACCCGTAGTCGCTCCAAGGACAACGAAGCATCCTTGGCCAAGTCTATTAAAGCCGAGTAAACACTTTTCTCAATGAACGACGGCTGCAAATTCCAATTGACTTCAATCAAAAGATGACCGCATTAAATAATCAAATTAAACGATATGTTCCGACTTTGTGTGGACAAAAATGACCTTGAAAATTCAGTTGACTTCAACAGTGATTAAGTTGTTATAACATTTATTCAGTCTTTGAAGACTTAATGTGATTTATTAAAAACTATGTGGGTAATATTGCATGAAATATTTAATTAGGAAAAATAGTAAAAGTTGTGCAGAGAATTATTGTTTGTCATTTCTAATGTGTTTTTATCTTTAAAAATATTAATTAAAATTAAACAAAAAACAAATGAATAAGGAATGTAATTTTTATTATTATCCCAATAGGTTGTTTTGCCATTTCATAGACCCCCCCTGTTTGTTTTGCCATTTGTTTTTCTTCCGAAACTTGAGATTGATAAATTTTCATATCTCCCACTCATTTATTTGGGTGCCTCGTCTTTGTTTGTCTGTTTGGGCCCTCTTTTATCAAAGTTGTTTTGACGGGCTCGCAAGGCAGCCAGCTGTCAAAAGTTTTACATGCACCCCCTCTCAGAGACTCCAATCCACACATCCCGTCTGGTTCCGAATCCAATCCCAATTAAGCTGTCATTATAGGAACTCAACTAGAAAGACTCGTTTGGGGCGGAGAAAAATCTTGGATATTATTATAATTAGTTGTGAGATTCCCGCACGCTTATCAAGCGCAAATTGTTGATTAATTAGTTACCAATTTAACTGAATAGTCGGCAAGACATGTCTATTTATTATGCGTACAGATCCCATACCTCTGATTGAGTTGAACAATAATAATAAATTCATGCCAGCGGCTATTTTTCTGCCGCCTGGAAAGACATTCACATTGGCTTATCACTTATTTACGCTTTTTTCTACGGCCATTAATGCAAATTCCATTAGTTCGATTAACCGACATCTCTGGCATTCTTTATTAATATTAGATTTGTATTCAGTTGAACAAAAACAAAAATTGCAACTTAATTACATTGTGTAAAATTTGATTTGCATTTTTTTGCATTGTTGTGCTGTCTATGTGTGCATAAATTATTGGCAAAATTTATTCATTGTCTATCACAAAAAAGTCAGCGATATATGGAGTGCAAAAAGTGCAATGAAATTTAATAAATGAAAAGCATTACAATTAATCAATGGGATATAACTAAATGACAAATTTTGTGCATTTATAATTTATTACATGGAAAAATTGATTAGTCTAAAAGAATGTTGGCCTAATTTTAATTATGTACACATACATATTTTAAATCACCGAAATGCCAAAATGATTAAATTCATCAAAAAAATTGTATAAAATAATTGATTGCGGATTGAGGTGTATAAATTAAATTCAGATTTTTAGGAGTAGTTTAAAATTATTTGTAGAATGTTATAGAATAAATTAAAATATAACCAACGTATGACCTCGAGTAATCCAATAGCTACATTAATTACTAATGATATATGTAATGATAATTTATAATAACTACTTATCTAATAATAAAAAAAAACATGATTTCTAAAATTAAATGTTCTTTACCAATTTTATATTAAGGTTTGACTTAAAAAAATTTTAATACACGATATTAAAGAAGTTTAGCCAGGCGTTTGTAGATAAAAAAAGTTACTTAAATGTGAGGAAAGTATTTTGAAAGAGACTTAAATAATAGTAATGTAAAAAGTATCTTGTAAAAGTATCTGAGCTGCAGCTCCCGGGGCGTTCAGCAGCTGGTGCAGCAGTATGTGGTATGTAGTGTGTAGTATCTAGTATGTGGTACGTGCAGGAGGCAAGCCATCAAATCGCAAAAAGGAAATCAAAATCAATGTCAATATTTTTTGAGCCAAATCGAGGCTGGCAGAAAAGGCGCTAAGTCAGGCCGGGCAATAAGGAAAATGAGCACGTGCGAAGGAAATCCAGGGGAGGCGGCAAAGTGGGAGTGGCTGGCAGCAACAGAAGCAAACTTGGCCAAACTGTCGCCGGGCACAAAGGATGTGGATGTGGATGTGGATGCGGGCTGAAACAATAAGTAACCGATAGGACCAAAAGGACCAAAAGGGGACACGGGCTGAGGACTGGCGTCATCATTTATCACGCGCTCTTCCACACACTCGTACACACACGGAGAAAGGTCAAGCAAAGTGTTATCCTTGGAGCCATCAAGGCGATGCGGGAGGGGAAACCAGCTGCCAGCTGTTCCTCTAGGTCCTTGGATCCTGGCAAAGACACATGCACTCGGAGAAAACAATTAGAGGGCGCAGAGTCCTCAGGGAAATTGGAAACAAGGGAGAATCACCAATCGCCCCATCATCAAATATTCCAAAATAATTTTAATTGTATACCATTTTGTTTTCCAAAATCATAATTCATTTAAGACTAAATCTAATTATTATTATGATGAAAAATATTATTCAAAATTTTCTTGGTATCGAATATTTAGAAAGTGTTTTGATATATAATCCGATGACTAGTTATAACTCTAGCTTAAAATGACTCGAAGAAAAACCGCACTCTTATATAAAAACTGGTTTTGTTAATGTCAATATTTTCTAAAACATTTTGCTGCGTGTAGAAAGGTGAAAGAAGAAAATGTTTGTGAAAATCACTATCGAAATGAAAATATCAATGATGTGATTATAAATAATTAGTCTGCTCGGAAGTTTCATGTTATAGCAATGATTTACCTTAAATCTAATTTTGAAACTTAAACATTACTTCATATTTTTATGCCCCCTAAATCACACCTTGAAAATAAAACCAACTTTGTAATAATTTTGATTTTTTTGTGTTTTTGGAAAATTTTATTTAAATTATTTTACTTTTTTCTTGCAATTTTTGACGCAGATTGGATGCCTATATTTTTTTGTTTTTAATTTACATTAAGTTACTTTTGTGTGTGTGTTTTTTTTTGCTTTGTTCTTTGTTGGGAGTTTCTAGAATACCGATCAATTTGTTTAAATAATTCGCTTGCACAATATTTTAAATTTGCTCTTGTTTTTTATATATTTATATATAATGTTATACAATATATTTAATATAATTATTTTGTATTTATACATAAAAATAGTTTCTGTAGCACAAATCATTCAGTTAATTTTTCGTTTTTATTTTCTTGATTTTTATAATTTTTGTGGTTGCTTCTGACGACACACACGGCAAAGAGCGAGAGGCAATGAGTTAGTTGAACAAAGGGAAAAGAAATGTAGAGGATATGGAAAGTTATAGAAATTAAATCTCCCGTTGAGAAGAGCATACATACATTTGGTGGAATACATATGGCAGAAGGAAAGCTTCTTCTCGACTCGAATAAATCATAATAAAATAGAACAATCGCCTGGGCCGAGGGCGAGGTGCGATCCAGCTCTGTTAACTTGGTTTCTTGGTTCAGACGCATGCGTTCGTTCGTGGTCCACGCTCGTTTAAAATGGCTTAAATAAAAACTTGCTTTAAAATGGAGGCTTATAGTTGTCTCTCTTCTTGAGCGGATAACGCGAGGGGTCTACATTAAAATCGAAGGGATTAAGGTTTAAAATTAATTACAATTGGTTTCGTTGGTTGGTTGGTGAACAAAAGCAAAAAAAAAATGAACGAAAATCGTGGGTTAACTAAAAATGTACACACGACAAAGGAGCTCCTCGATCTCTCCTGTTATAAATACTAATGTAAACGTTTCGCCTACCGAATCAACACAAGTGTGAGTGGGTGTGTAATTAATTAATATAATTAAAAAGTACATACAAGCTAGGCGCATACCATCCTCATCGCAGGGATCTTGGACTGTTTGAATCTCTCGTTTGTCTGCCGTTTGTTAATTACATTTTACAGCGTTTTAAATAATTTATTATACAAATGTGTGTGTGGACCCGCGAACGAAAAAAAAACTACTTCACATTATCCTTATCATTATCCCCTCTCTTTCGCCAAGGCCCTTTAAACACATGCAGAGTGGGTGAGCTGCGCGGGGAGGAGTACAATATGCCTCGCAGACAATATCCTTTCTTCAAATAGCAAACTTTTCGCTAAGCTAAACCATTAAGTGGTGAATGTCTCATCTCTTGTTCATCGTTTTATGTTTCTCAATCCTAGTTTTTGTTTTCTCTTTTGTTTCATTTCCTATCGAAAGTTTTTGAGTATGCCGCAGGAGGCTCGTAAAGAATCACTCGTAGTCATGAAACTCATCAAATGAGTTCCAGGAAGTTTGTTGAAAAGTTAATGTGAAATCTTCAGGCATCGATCAGTTTTTGGGGAAGGTCGCAAGGCGGAATTTGTGTTTCCAAAGTTTTAGAAACCTGCCATTGACTTTGTTTTAAGGTCTTACAGCTCTATGAAGCTCTCTTGGTAAACAATCTAATAACATTCAAACCGTTTTTCTTGACAGAGTTCACATTAGTTTAAATCATCACTAAACCTCACAAAGATTTGAATACTTGGCTAACAATTTAAGAGTTTCCCTTTTGAATACTATACGCCCAAACTGATCAGAGCCTTTACACCAACTGGCAGACCATTGAATGATCTAAAAGCTGTTTCAAATTGTGGTTTCCCTCAGCACTCCTCCAGCACTACTGGTCCTGCCTTTTCTACGAGTCTCTGCCCTTCACTTTATGCTTAAATAACGTTTTCATGTTGATCTGGTTCTGTTGTTGCTGCTTCCGCTGGTGTTTCTCTGTGGTGTCTGTGTTGCTGCTGCTAGTTGACTGCGGCTCAACACTCACTCTGAGACAGGTCAATCTCTTTCTTCACGCTGCGCGATAACCGGTCCAGCTCGGCAGCCGCATCCGTGCGCACGGCCAGCTTCTCGGGCGTCATCATTGCATCCGTACCGTTGGCAGTGCGACCCGGTCCCGCCGGACTGCCGGCTCCGCCCGAACCGCCGCTCGCCGGACTGCCCGACTTTTTGTGCAGCAGCGAGTTGAAGAAGTTGGCCAGAACGCCCTCGGTGCCGGGCGTGGCTGGCGTCAGCTTGGGATCAATCTACAGGTGTGAAAATAAATTAGATTCGAATTGTTTTTTTGTACATTAGTTATACCCACCTTCTTGGGCGAACTCTGCCCGGTGGTGCCTGGCGTTCGGGGTCCGCTCTTGTTGCTGCCCACACCCTGCGATCGCAGAGGCGACTCTCCGCGCACCTGGTCGCCCTGCTTGAGGATCTCCTGCTGGCGGGCCAGGAAGGCCTGCTCGTCCTCCGTCTGCACTTCCGCCTCGCGATTGGAAACCGCCTGAAAATAGAGAGGTACATAATGAAAGGGTTTCGGGATCTAGATGGGAAAAACATACCTTTCTAGTCGGTGGCGATTTTATAATGTCTGTGTAGGGATTCTCGGCCTTGACTCCATGCATATTCTCGTACAAAATACTAATCTTCTTCAGGCTATCCCAGCCAGCCGGACTACAAAATATGCAAAATTAATACATTACGTTATAGATATACAGTTGACTGAAGGACACTCACATGAGTACCGCATCCTTTTCAACGACTAGCGCTGGCGTACGGAATGGTAGACCATAAATTCGATGCGTCAGATATTTGTAGAGCATATCACAGTTTTTGTCTTCTTTGACGCTCGTGTAGAACAGCGAGGTACCGTGCCGCAGGCAGAAGTTACGTATCCACTGCTGGATGAAGTCGAAGTGCTCGTCGCGATACTCGTACTCCTTCTCCAGCGTGGTCATGTAGTCCGTCTGGAAGCAAAAGTCAGAATCGAATCAATCGTTTTACACCAACCGTTTTTATTAGAGAATTTGATGCCCAACTAACCTTTGTGACCACAACAACGATGTCGAGGCCTAGATTTGTAATTAGTGCGTCCTCCGTCAGCGGCAGCAGGTCGTCCTCGTCGATCGAGTTGTTGCGCATTGTCCGCTTGACCGGGGAGCCCGGGTCCAGGTCGTCGCCCACCTCGCAGTAGCTCTGCCACGTGGTGGCCAGTCGCTGGCGGGCCGCCTCCTTCTCTTTGGCGTCCAGCTGCAGGCTCTCGATGTGCTGTCCCAGGACCTTAATCCACTGGTTAAGCTGCTCCAGCCAGCCCCACGGCTGCGTCATCGAGACGGTGAGGATGACGAGAGTGTGTGCATAGTTCGTTTCGTTGAGCGCATAGTGTAGCAGGTTTGTGTGTCCTGGATCGCCGTCCAGGACCCAAACGCCCAAACGCGTCATGTCTACAATGGAATATTATATATTATTTACATGATAATGCTAATCTAATCATTGATCACCCACCGTCTCTGTACTCGTCCTTGACATCGATGTAGGCATACTCCAGGCCGGAACCCTTCTTCGGATCCTCGACGCCCTGCAGTTTCGCAATGAGTGTCGTCTTTCCGGTGGCATTGTCGCCTAATACTAGTACAGATTTGTTTGATGGAAGTTTTGTGCTGCCCTGTGTTTGTACTTCATTCAATATCGCTGACCTGCAAGGAAAACCAAAGTTGTACTTTAATCAATACACAAGACGCAATACAATAATAGTTATTAAAGTAATTCATCGGGCAGTTAATTACCTATTGGTCATTATAATAGTAAATATAATGTGCAATATTATTTGTTCAGTTTAAGATCACTCTAAAACTTAAGTATGAAATATGAAAATTATATAAAAGCTATATAGTTTAATTGCTTCATCGGATTTGGGAACCGAAATTAAAGCCTTCACGATCTCCAAACTTCTTTGAATTGTGCGAATTACACGCATTATATAGCTCGTCCGCTGACAGACGTACATAATCGAATTCAGGTCAGAGCTCCGTCATTCATGCACATTTCCCTTTTCGCAACAGTCCGCCATCAAGTTAATTGGCGGACCCCCAAACGAACCGACACACCATATAAACACCGCCTCTCATATTTCCCAGCCCACGGTTCGTGCTCAATTTTAGTGTTTCGGAACTACGTCAATATTTGATATGGTTTTGCATGCGATTTTCAAACGTCGCAATGTCTGCAATTCAATTAGACCAATTAAATAATTTTCAATTGATGTGGAATGAAATACTTGTGCTTTGCCATCCAGGCAAACGGACAGTTTGGACAGAATGTTCGGTGCTGGCTGCCAGGACATGCAAATTGACCCCGGGACCTGCTGCTCCGCACTCGCCTCCGTGTGTCCCGAATTCTCCATGGGACTATGGGGAATATCGATTGCCGAGCACTTTTCCAGTTCGTTTCGATTGTTTTGTTTTGGTCGGCTCCTTTATTGAATGCGGCGCTTATTCATTTGCCTATGAATAAGGCACACTGGTTTGAAATATGTTTTTTTTTATCTGTTCTTTGAAATGTAATATGATTGTGATTGCCAATTTATTTTAGAGGTTTTCCGCATTTTTGTTAGTTTTAAAATCAATTATCATTTTTAAATGATTTAAATTTAAGTTAATTTTAATTTGGTAATAATTGCCAGAAATAGTACAAGTATTACTCTGTAGAATGCGAGTTATAACCATACTTATAACCATTTCATTTCTTTACTTTTCATCTTCCTAAGAGCCAATTCCATTTCGAATCCTTCGCTTTAATTTTTATTGCCTTTACCTTTGCTTTGACCCACTTCCAGGGAAAATCCACCTGCGCCCCACTGTGCACTGGTGGTAAACGAACGTTTTAACGTTCTCCATTTGGTGGTGACTGGTCGACTCCTGCGAGGGGGATGAGGTGGAAGTGTAAGTGGGATGGAGGAGTGGTTGCCCGTTGGCATGGTGCACGCGAAAAAGCCAAACGAACAGTACATTTTCCAGGCAAACTCCTCGCTGCTTTCGAGGAGTCCGTCTAGAACTGTTGGTCGCGTTGGTTGAGAGTTCCACACTTTCCACATTACATACTATTTAGTATTCACATTACCTACAATTAGGGCGCTCCAAGATGAGTCTGCTTTTGAGGCGACGTTCGCGCAGCGAGACGCGTTCTCAGGAGATTCGGGCGGAGAAGGCCAAGCAACTGGAACCGAAACCGGATGCACCGGACAGACAGCAGCACCACCACCAGCAGCAGCTGGCGAAGCCCCACCAGATGCGCCACCCTCCGCATGCCAGTGAGCAGAACCTGAACAAACTGGGCCTGGTGTCCAGTGGTGGTGCAGGTGGAATGGGCAGGCGCAAGACATCCGCCGAACTCATCAGCGAGGCCAAGATGTTCCTGGGCGAGTCCGTGGGCGGCGCCGTTCCCCTGATGGCCACCGGTGGTGCCCGGTTGGTCAGCACCCGACGACCCATCACACCCCGCGAATCTGGACGGGTTTTGTACGGCAAAGTTGCTTTGGCTGGACGTCCACCCAGTGCTTTTTCGTAGGTTACCCCCGAGATTGTATGTCGCAGATTTTGAGGTGTATTTTTGTTTTTGTCCTGTTTTCACAAAAAGCATGCGCTATCTGCAGAACGAGAAACCATCTACGCCCCGCCAGCTGCCGGCTCTATCTGGTTCTGGACCCGCCACGCCCATGCCCACCAGAAATGGCGCCCTGCTCTGCCAGTGCAGCACAGAAACCCTCATCGAACTGCTGAAGCAGCACAGTGGTCTCAAGGATTGCAGCGATGAGACGGTGCAGCACATAAATGCGGTGAGTGTTTGATATTTCCCAGGGGTTTTGCAAGTTTCTCCATCCTATTTTACCATTTCTGCCTTTGATTATCGATCAGTTAACTGGATTTACTCTTTCAGGCCATCTTTCTGATAGTTCCTTTTAAATATTATGAAGGTTTTTGGTTTGTTATTATTGGTATGTCATATTTTAGATCATCTGTTCCATATTTTTGGTTGTTTGACTTTGTATTTCACGACTTTGATCAATAATTATTGTTCTTCCAGACAATATGATGCATATAGAAGATGTCCATAACTGACTAATACATATATTTTGCCTCATTACAGATCCTCCAGGAGCTTTATACGCGAGTGAGAAAACAGGAGCGCAGCTTCAAGCGTGGCTTCATCCTAGGAGGTCTTTACGGTTTGGTGGAATGCAGTTCCCCACGAGTTCTCTTAGCTGTGGCTCGTGTGGTTCTGGCGGTGAGTCATCTTGTAATACATCCTCCTCATTATTTGTCGTGTTAATATCCCCTTTTAGCTCAGGGTCACGGGCAGCAATCTCACGGGTGCCTGCAAGCTGATCTTCAAGGTGGCCAGGCACGAGCAGCACGATGCCCTGTTCCACGAGCACGATGTGCTGGAACTGCTAATTGATGGCCTGGGACACGCCTCGCCCTTGGATGAGCCGGAGGCTTGCATTTATGCCTACGGTTGCATACGTTTCCTGACCGCCAGCAGTGCCCAGGAGCGCGATGATGCTCTGAACCGCAACTGGATTGGTCTGGAGAGCTCCGGCGAAAGTCATCCGCTGCCTATTCCCGCTCTGATGCCTCCTGCTCTGTCGGCCATATCGACTGGCCTGTGTCCCAGGAAATTGACGGGCCAGCAGACATTGGTTTGCCGTCTGGCCCGTCATGGAGCCGTGGAGCTGATGATATTGCACCTGCAGATGTTGAATGAGGCGGGGGCCACCAAACGCCTCCAGGGTCCACCGCTTCACACCCTCTATCAATTGTCGGCGGCCATGAGAGCTCTGGCGGATGTTTCCCAGCAGCAGCAGCGACTGCAGCTTCAATTGCAACTGGCCTGTCCACATCTCATCCGAGCAGCCGAGGTTTCCATGGGCGAACTGGAGGTGCAGGCCAATGTGGTGCGCACCCTGAGGTGGGTTTAACAATACCCTTTCTTTAGAAGCTGTGATTTAGCTGCTAATTCCTTTCCAGCGTTCTCTCCGAGGACTCCGATTGCTGTGAAACGCTGCACAACTATGCTGCCAGGATTGGCCTGCTCCTGGGTCCTTCTTGTGCCGGTGGTGGCCAGTGCAGTGAACGTCTCCTGGCGGTGCTTAGTCGTCTGGGCTACATGCTGGGCAATATACTGGCCAAACACGAGTCGGCTCGCATACAGGTGGGTTTGCAACTACATAATGCAACAAAACAAACATTAAATGATGAAATCAATTTAAATACTATTTGTTAGTTGAAGGAATAGTTTGAGTTATTAATCCAACATCCTATTCCGTTGCAGTACTTTCACAACGACGTGGCCATGGAGTATCTTCTGAATATCCTGGAGCAACTCAACGATCGCTCACCCACCAGTGTGGCTCTTTTGGATGCCCAAATCAAGTTGATCCGAGTGGTGGCCAATATGAGCGTGAATCCCGAGGTGGGCGCTGGCTTGGGAAATGTCCGTTCCCTGGGCGCCGTGCTGCTGCAGCTTTTGAGCAAAACCAGCGGCGAGTTGGCCAAGAAGAAGGTGGGTTTTGGAAGTCAAAGTCAAGCCAAAAATTAATGTTTTCTTTGGGTTAGTCACCGGAACAACAGGAGCTGATGCATGCCACCTTAGGAGCCCTGCACAATCTGTGTTTCTACCAGGACAAACAGGCAGCCGTGCAGCCTTTGGCCGAGGGATCCCTTCAGAGTTTGATTGACGACTTGTCTGATTCGCTGGCCAAGGTTTTGGGCAAATGCCAGACGTCAGTGACCAAAGTGGAGTTGGCCCGGGTGTTGGGAAATCTGACGAGGAACGAGCGGGCACGTCGATGTTTCTGTGCGGCCGGAGGATTGCCATTGATGGTGCAGCAACTCACGAAGCAAGCAGCTGGCCAGGATTACGAGCTGCGCACCTGTGCCATTGGTGTTCTGGTGAATCTCTTGGGCGATGGCGAACAGCGAGGTCCTTTCCTGCAACTCCGGGGAGCGGAACTGCTGTCTCTACTGCTGCGTGGATCCTTGGAGCAGGAGGATTGGTTTCTGGCCAATATCGTTTGCCAGGCCCTCTGGAATCTCCTTATCGACGGCCAGTGTGCGGCCAATCTCTGCCAGAGCGGTAATATACTCGATGAAGTGAGCGATATGTTGGCCGATTATCTCGATGAGGAGCGATTGCTGCCCGGCGATAACGATAACGATGAGGACGAACCGGAGCGGGATCACGAGGATGTGGATGCGGATGCGGCGGAAACGGATGCGGAAGCCCATGACGCTTTGTGGGAGGACTTCGCCCTGGTGGCCACCGATTTGCTGGAACGCATCCAAAACAATTTCGATAGGCAACAGCAATCGCAGACATTGGTGCTGCAGCACGCCGAGACCGAAGACGATAATGATGTTTTCATCGAGGAAATGTAGTAACAAATCATTCGATAGTTTATAGTGTTTCTATGTGTTTGCAATATTATTCGATAAATATCCTGAACCAAATAATCAAAGCCAATAAAGTATGTTTTGAAATACCCCTAGAATGGTTTGACTCAAGTGTTTGGATGGGAATGTGGTGTAATATACTCGAAGGTCCATTTGTAATTCATAATAATAACTCAAATGTTTCATATATAAATATTTCAGATAAGATATGATCATAATTTACAATGAAAAAAATGGTATTTTGACAGCAAAATGATAAATCTGCCTTGGAAATCAATATCTTTAGCTAATGCTTCCTAAATATAAACAATGATGACGATTTCTTTTTAACGAGGAAATTAATATCCGAACAAGTTCCTAGTCTTTCAGACACTAAGCTACAAACTTTGGGGTTTGTTTAGAAATTCAGACCCACAAACTGGGTCGGCACACAATATTAATAAACAAACTGCCTTCGGAGTTACCTTGTTAAGACAAAAATACTTGGTTCTGTAAACTAGAAATATGTTTATAAGCTATAATTATTATTTGGGAAATATTATATGCCTTTTGCGATATTTTTGGTAGAAAACAGTTGCTATTATTTTTAAGGTGTAGTAACTTCCACTTTTGCCTAGTGCTATGAAAAAATTGTAATTTAATCCCAACGTCATATTCGAGTTCATTTGAAGTAATGGATATGTTTAAAAACAAATACTTCATATTTTAAGATTCTAAAAAAAAAGGAACTGAAGAGCTTAATACTTTTGTAAAGTTTTTTAAAGTCGCTTTGCCCAATTATGTTAACGGGTGTACTTTAAACGACATATTCAAGTGATGACAACATCGCACACACACACACTAGCGGAAACCAATACACGCACCTCTTAAGCCAAGTTTGGGTTCCAATCGGAATCAGTCTTATTGGCTAGCTGCCCATTAAGCTGGGCTTTATTTATAAGTATGAGTGTAGAAAAATTGATAAAGCGAAAAAAAAAGGTAAACGCTGCCCTCGATTTGTATTTTTTGTTAGTGAAATTGTGAATCATCCCCGCACATTGTTGCTCTTTTTTCGCCCTCTCTCCCTCTCTTTTCCTCTCTGTTTTTCTTATTGGCCGTCTTTTCTCTCATTCTCCTGCAATTCCAGCTTTTTGTAATATTATTTATTTATGCATTTTGTTTATTAATTTTTCTCGCCAAAGCTTTAGAATCTTTAGGTAATATTTGAGGTTAAATAGAGAAAGGTAGAAAAAAGAAATGACAACATGTGAATGAAATCAGCTGGTTTTTAGGCTTCTGAAGAAAGAAACTTTTAGTTGCCGGCTGTCTCAAACATTTTGAATAATTTAAAACAAGTAAAAGAGATTCCTTTAATACTAGAGGAACATTAGTTACCAACGGCAACAAAATGAAGATAATAGTGGTGGCGAAAATCAGTTTGCAAACGTCATCTAAAGAAAGTTATTATACAAAAAAAGAGCATAATAGAGCGCCTTCTCTTACGGGTTTCTTTTTTGTTTATCTTTTTGGATTCTCTTTTTTGGGGTCTAATGCATTACAATTATAAATCTTTTAAGGATCCCTCTATATTTTAAAGTTTTTTTTTTGAAATTTGTTTGTATTTCATTCATATTCACCTATAGTTTGTAGGTTAACATATAATTTATTAAGATCATACTATAATTAAAAAAAGAACAAGCTCTGCTTTGATTTGACAGACTTTTTTCACAAATAACTAATAAAACTAAAACAAATAACTAATAAAGAAAACGCATTTTGTGGGCTTCTTAGAAACGGTTCTAGTTTTAAACGTTTTAAATTATGTTTTTAATTTTGAAGCTTTAAATTTCAAAGGGCTTGTATTATTTTGGGTTTCATTTCTTGTGCTTTTTTAGGATCCCAACCTTTGTTTGCTACTTTTGACTATATTTCTTGGATCCTCTTATTTGAGGGGTCGTATTTCCTGTGTGATCTTCTATTTGGGATGTTTTTGCTTGGAGAGCCCCACCTTTTTGTTAGGGAATATTTCTTCGGAATGCAACCCCAACTTACCATAGGTTTTCCTTTTCCGCAGCCGGATCCTTTTTCTTGGTGGTGAAGGATGATGTCAGCGCATTCGTTTGCGTCCCACTGTCCAGCGCCATGATGTTGTTTTTGTTGTTTGTTTTTGACTCTGCGGTGCGGTACTCCTATTGGAACTCACTCCTCTCCTAGTCGGGTCCAATTGGGAATGGGGATGTGCTGGCGCTGCGTGAGAGAGGAGAGGGTCAGGGAGAGGGGAGATGAGAAACAGTTGGCAAACAAAAACAAACACACGCGCGACAGAGCGAGACGGCTGCCAGGTGTCGGCTGCATATGATTTTGCAGTCTATTTAAATAATTTTACTTTATTTGTTTATGGCGTTGCAAGGCAAGGCTGCACACTTGTGTTTTTTCCTGTGCATTCGTCACCGCTCTTCCACTCTCTCTCTCGCTCTGCTTTTTGTTGCTTTAGTTACGACGCACAGCTGCTGACAAATTCGCAAAATTTCCTCTTCTCTCTCTCTTTCTTTTTTTTGGTGCCCACTTTTTTTTTCTTTTTTGTACGTACGCAGTTTTCCACGCTCTTCGCTCTCCGGTGAAAACTAGCGGCCCTGGACTTTCACGCACGCCTCCTTTTGTTACCTCCAATTGTGGCCGACAATTTCCCAAAAAATAACAAAAAAATATTGATGGGCGAGCGAGAAAATTCGTTTTTCGCTGCGGAAAAAGATTTTTTTTTGACGGGCTGTGTGATAGAGCTGGAACAAAGTCGATGATTACTATCGATACGTTCAGAAATTTGGCAACATCGATATTTTGTTTGAGATTGTCGATATATCCCATGCAATTATCGATAGCTATCACTAGTACAAAAACTGTTACATCGATAAGACTGATTTCAATTCGAATTCAAAATAGTTTAATAATATGAATATATTACTAAATATTAATAAACAAATATATAAATAAATTGTATCAATTTGTAAGAAAATTAAAACATATTTCAAAGGTATCAACGCCGAATATTAACTATATGTTTTCATCGCCTCCACCGATATTTTATGTGATTTAAAATATTCTTATTTGCTTTATATATTGTCGTTTTTCTTATTTGATCGGTTGGTTATTTTCTCTGTTTCAAATTCAAATGTATTTTTATATTTTAAAAGACATTTTTTTTCAAAAACAGACTTTCTCACATTTTCGGTGGGAGAATAATTCCCGCGCCTGGTAACACTACATCACAGTCATAACTGCCTTGATCTTAATATATATATCTTTAATCACGGATTATCGGAGGGAAAGTCGAGAAAATTTAATTGCAGGAAGGAACAATGCAATCCACTAGCCTTTTTCTGGCTGTGATTTTTCTTTTAAGCTTGACTCAAATCGATGGTAAGTTCGCTTTCCCGTTAAAGTCTTTTGTTTCAGTTGCACATGTGTTGTGTCTTGTGTTTGTGTGCGTGATCTAGTTGGATTTCCATATGGAAAAACGACAAAATTCAATTGAAAACCACCTGTGGCTAAACTCTCTATAAAATGAATTGTTTTCATAACTACTTTTCATCTGTTGTCTTAAACTTACAATTACCAGAAAGATTTTTGTTGGGATTTGCCCTTTCACATATTTTTTTTTTATTTCAATTTATTTTTGTAAATATTATAGTAGTATTACTAAACAATAATGAAGTCCGATCTGTTTATTAACTTAAAGCATTCATGTGTGTATGTACTTTTTTCATTTCGGTTACAAGAAATAATACATTTTTACATTACATGATTACATTTCCGCAATCTTTAAAACCGGTATTAAAAAATTATTTGATTTAATTTAATTATATTAGTAGATTTTAAGCAATATTTTATTTTGCTTGGTATCTTATAAATTTAAAACATTTACTCAAACCATTTTTTTTAAAGCATAGAGCTATCATAAATAATATTTTTGATGGTTTAAGAACCTTAATTGTTTGTCTTGTCTTTCAATATTGTTGATTTGTTCTTATCTTCAATATCCTTTCAATCAAAATCTGGATTGTTAATAACCTCAATTCTATTCAATCTCAATTTTGACCATGTACTTAATAATTTAAGATGGCAAAAAATGAGCCATCCATCTATATGACATGAAAAAAAGGAGACTTTCGAATGTATTTACATTTAATTATATCCGAAACTAAATCCTGGCTCTTTGCAGGCCTGCTGCGCCGCTGCTACCAGTGCCGATCCCGCGGAGAGTTGGGCAGCTGCAAGGACCCCTTCAGCTTCAATGCGACGGATGTGGAGCAGGAGCCGGGAGTGGCGGCCGTTCCCTGCGCCAGCGGGTGGTGCGGCAAGGTGATCGAGGGCGGGGGCACCTACGCCATCGACGACTACGACCTGGCCATCCAGCGGATGTGCGTGCAACGCGGTCCCGACGACAACATGGACCGCTGTGCGGACACCATCTACAACTACAAGAAGGTGTACATGTGCTTCTGCCAGGGCGACCTGTGCAACGGGGCGAGGAGCTGGTCCAGTCCGCCGCCGACGATCCTGATCCTAATCCTGCCCCTGCTCGCCGGGATGCTCCGGCGGATCTGGGGCTAGACTGCTCCTGCGCTACTAGCCTGCATTGTATATACAATTTTTAATACTCATGAACACGAAATGCAATATTTACTACTTGAAAATACAAATTTGTTTTGTTAATACTCAAAAGTGTTTTTTGTTTGCTTTGTTGTAGATTTTACGATTTTTAAGCATTTACAATAAATTGGCAAATAAAATGGAGATTCCAATTTAATATTCAAGTAAGATTCTAAGGTTGCTTTTATTTGTGTTACATATATTTGCAACTTAAAATTGTTTTTTTTAAATCCAATTTGGTTGTATTTAATTCATTGATAAATTATAAAATGAGACCATGTTATTATCTTTTTTAATTATGCTGTCCAAATTTTATTTTAAAATAAGCTAAGCTTCAGAATTACAAATTAGAAGGTTATGGAGAAAGAAAAACAAAACACCATCGCATGTACTATATTTTATTTTAAAATAAGCTACGCTTCAGAATTACAAATTAGAAGGTTATGGAGAAAGAAAAACAAAGCACACCATCGCATGTACCATATAAAATCAAGCCATGCTTGATGAACGTGATCGGGCGTCGGAAACCCCGCCCAAATCTCAAAGGGGGTCAATCGGCTATCAACATGTCGCACAAAGAAACGACACAAGCTTGTTTATTATTCGAAAGAAACAATATAATATTTATATATTTATTTTAATCACTTGCGTATGCACATTTACATACAAACTTAACTAAGAGGCATTCTGTAATGCGAAAATGTAGGAAAAAAAAATTCAAATTAAGGTTATCCCTCGCCCTTGCTCCAAAAAATATAAAAGAAATGGGTTAAGGTCGAACGACAAGTGGTGAGCTTATAGGGAAACGAAGGGAGGCGTCTAATAAATGCCCATGTCCATTGGACTGAGGCGCCAACTTATTTATCCAACAACTTGCGGTTTCCAGCTGGAAACCAGAACAAAAAAATTGGTATTCCGTTCACTTGGAATCCCGCATTTTATCCATCTGCTCGCGCAAACACGGCGGACAGCGAGAGTTCTGGAGCTGCATTTGCTGGCGATTTTTGGTCGACTCGTGGCATTCCAGGTGGAATAAGCCAGTGCAAAAATGGCAGTACATCGCTTCGCGCTCTGAAAAATAAAGGAAATTAGAACAGGTTTTAAATGTCAAAGAATACATACAAAGTTATGCTATCTGATTTAAATCTAAGACTTGAGTAATTCAATTATATTCACAAAACAAACTATTAAACTGCAGACTTTAAAGTGGCTTTCGTCACCAGCTTGGTTCGCTTCTTTATAATGATCTTATAAACATTGAGGTCATCGATGAAGTTGACGTGTCACTTAAGAAAAACTTTGGGGATGACTCACCCACTCGCCGCTTGCACTCCCTGCACTCGCTGCACTTTCGGCACTTGGAGGCGCCGCCCTCGCCATGCTGGCAGGGTGAATCCACAGATCCTCCTGCTCCGCCTGTGGTAATCTTATCCGTAACCTTGTCCGGCGATTTGCTCTTGCGCGTGTACGCCCTCTTCGAGTTGGCTTGCAGACGCTTCTCCTTCGGCGACAGCAGGAACTCGGGCTTGTCCTTGGCCTTTTTGTGGCCGCGAACGCCCAGGACCAGCGTGTCCATGGCATTCAGCTGCTGGCCATAGTGGAAGTCCACACCGCTGGCATTCTGTACGGTGCGGCGCTTGCGTTTCGAGTGGCGCTGGTTGAGCTTCTTGAGCACTTCCGGCGTGTAGAGGCCAAAGAGGCCGAGGAACGTCTCCTGGCCGTATTCCGTCGGCAGGATGCGACTCTCGCGCGGCTCATCGCGCCACTGGGCGGCGGATGCGAAGAGCCGTTGCTGCTCCTGCTGCAGTTCCGCACTGGAATCATCAGAGCTGCCGGATGGCGAGCCTGCAGGCTGAGACTGTGACTGCGCCTGCTGCTGCGCCTGCGGCTGTGAATTCGCTGAGAGTGTTGGCGAGGATTTTCTGCGAGTGTTTCTGGTCTTATACGAGTTCTTCGACGGCCCCTGCAGCGGCAACGGTGCCGTCGATTTCTTGGCCAAGGCGGCATTAACCGCCTGGTTGGCGGCAGTATTGGTCATCTCCAGCGGAGGCGGTGACTTCCTGCCCTCGCTGGATTTGTTCTTTCGACTCGTCTCCAGACTGGTGATCTCCAAGTCCTCCTCTTCGTCGAACAAACGGGGCTGCTGCTTGGTCTTCCTGGCCCGCTTTAAGGCCTGGTGCAGGTTCTTTCTGCTCTGGGCCACCACCTCGAAGTCCAGGGGGGGATTGGGTGGCTGTGGCGGTGGAATTGGTGGTACAGGTAGCGATACCGATGCCGCTACCGGAGGAACCACCACTGTTTGGGTAATGGGCGCCAAGGGCGGCGGTGAGGTGCAGGTGACAGTCTTCCGCTTGAGCGGCATCGCATCCAGCGTCCGTTTCATCATCTCCGACTGCGATTGAAGTGGGGGCGGCGCTGGCACCGGCATCTCCTCGATTTTGGGCCAGCTGGCCTGCGGATGAACGGCTGCGATCTGCTGGCCAAGGCCCCTAACCGGCGGAGCCAGCATCAGCGGTATATTCTCGTCCAGATCGCTCAGCTTCAGCGGCGGCACACCCGCTTCGTCGTCCTGGCTCAACAGGAAGTGCTTGCGGATGAGCATCTCCTCGTTGTCCCGATTCATCACCGACTGCGGACTGATCTTGTAGCTGGGATCGGCTATCAAAGGCACTATCTGGCCGGAAACGAACTCGTTGGCGAATTCCGGCAGGCTGGCAATGTTGTTCTCCTTCAGTTTCATGTAGAATCCCTCCAGGTCATCGTTCAGGCGGAGCAGTAGGAACTGCTGCTCGGCATTGATCTCGTACACCTCCTCCTCCAGTTCGTCCAAGATGCGGCGCATCTGCACGGGATCCTAAGGGGTTAAGCGAAAGGTTTTTTAGTGCGTGAGTTCCACATTAAAAGTCGCAGTAATTGGGATGGGTTGCGCGGGGATCGCAGGTGCTAATGGGCATTAACCTATGGCCCAAAAACACTAAGTAAGTGTCTGTCAAAAGGCAACATTAATTAGTTGTGGAAGTTTCATAATCCTTAATTTTTGATATTTACTCAAATAATCACTTTTCCTTTTACTATGAAAGTGAAGAATTCCTAGAAAAGAAAATGCGTTAAGACGCACTTTGGTGGAGGAAAATTCTATAGACACGACGCAGTTAAAAAAAATGCGCACTAAATATGTAAATATTACGTTATTACATTTTGTAATTGTATATCCATGATTTACTAAAGATAATACTGAAATTAGTCATATTTCCCTGTTTTTTATACACCTACAAATCAAACATTCGAATGGTAAAGTGGGTCAACAAGATAAATGCAATTCCTATTAAAATTGAAATAATAAAGAAAAATTCCTACACATATTTACAAGCCGATATCAATTTTTAAAAAAAGATAGCTCTTTTTCTATGAGAAGTGGTGAAATTATTGACTATATTCAAGAAAATTTCGGCTCTTGTTTATATACATACACATTTGTACTTAGTTCCCAAGTTATTTAAAATATAAATTTCAACACGAGTGTGTGCACTACTACACAGTGCCATCTGGAAATTAGTCACCAGGTCAAGTGAATAACTCTTCTCCTTAAACAGTCATCGGTTATGTACATAACTTTCTTCTAAATTGGATTCCTCTTAGCTAACCAGTCTAACCTGAATATTGGTAGTGCTATGTATGTTTCGAAAGCTCTTAGAAAAACTTCTTCTAGAAATACGATCTACATACAGTTCAATGTGTTGGAACTCTGTGGGTATTTGGGGTGCATTCTTTTACAAGTCTATGGGTCCTAAGGATCCAGGAATTTGAGTGGCGTTGGCAACCCTGCTCCCGCCGCGGAACAAAGGACAAAAGGCTGTTGTTAACCCACCGCATCCGCCTGCTCCTTGAAGACGTCCGAGACCAACTGGGGGTTAAAGACAGAAGACAAAGGAATTAAGTAATGCATTATCGGTAGGTGGACCCCGTAATACCCCCAAAACTCACCCCGTGGACCTTGAGGAAGTCGCGCATCGCACGCTGGCAGTAGATAATATCATTTTTCAGCTCCAGCGGCAGCACGTAGCAGTTCTCCATGTAGTACTTGAATTTGGCGTACTCCTTGTACCCGCCGCTCATCATGTCCCGATTATATGGCGGCTATATAACGACCGATATCGAACGGAATCACGCACGCGACTTTCGGATTTTGATGCGATTCACTTGTGGGATTTCATTGCCTGGGATTCTTGGCTTCTCCGGGGGTTTCCAAATTGGGAGTTTCTGGGCAGGATTGGACCGACGCCTCGGGAAATTTGGAAAACGGGGAAAACCGGATGTTGCGGGACAAGATAATGCGGAGCGAAGGTGAGAATTACGAATTTTATTCTTTTGATTGAGTTCCTCCTGGTGGACAGTGCGGCCGAACTGCGAAATACATTTCCGCCTAACGCGAACTTCTTCGGAAACTCTGGATTTTCCAGTGGGATGAACAAGAGGGCGCGCACTTTGAACATGTAAGCCTACAGTGCTCATTTGAAACCGTGATGTAATTGGAGTGAATTGTCAGAAATTACATGTATTAAAGATAGTTTGTAGACAAAAAAAAAACACTTAAAAATAACAAACATAAACTAGGTCAAAAACTTGAACGACGTTAAAATACAAAATTTCATAGATTAGATAATCGAACCACAATTCTTAAGAAATCGGATAAAATTTATGGAAGTTATGGAGTTTAGAAGTCCAATTGAGGGAAACCATTTGACACATCATCGGAAACTTAGAAATAACTAACATGAAAATGGGTCAAAAATTTGACCAACCGTAAAATAAAAATTTGCGGTGCAGATTTTTTGAGAATCGAACCACAAGTCTTTAGAGGTATGCCACTTTGAAATCGGATTATATTTGGGGAAGTTATGGAGTGCAGAAGTCCAATTGAGGGTCACCATTTGACACATCATCGGAAACTTAGAAATAACTAACATGAAAATGGGTCCAAAATTTGATCAACGTTAAAATGAAAATCTTGAATGCAGATTTTTAGAGGATCCAACCACAAGTCTTTAGAGGTATGCCACTTTGGAATCGGATTAAATTTGGGGAAATTATGGATTTTAGAAGTCCAGGTGAGGGTCACCATTTGACACATCATCGGAAACTTAGAAATAACTAACATGAAAATGGGTCCAAAATTTGATCAACGTTAAAATGAAAATCTTGAATGCAGATTTTTAGAGGATCCAACCACAAGTCTTTAGAGGTATGCCACTTTGGAATCGGATTAAATTTAGGGAAGTTATGGAGTTCAGAAGTCCAGGTGAGGGTCACTATTTGACACATCATCGGAAACTTAGAAATAACTAACATGAAAATGGGTCCAAAATTTGATCAACGTTAAAATGAAAATCTTGAATGAAGATTTTTAGAGGATCCAACCACAAGTCTTTAGAGGTATGCCACTTTGGAATCGGATTAAATTTGGGGAAGTTATGGAGTGCAGAAGTCCAGGTGAGGGTCACCATTTGACACATCATCGGAAACTTAGAAATAACTAACATGAAAATGGGTCCAAAATTTGATCAACGTTAAAATAAAAATCTTGAATGCAGATTTTTAGAGGATCCAACCACAAGTCTTTAGAGGTATGCCACTTTGGAATCGGATTAAATTTAGGGAAGTTATGGAGTTCAGAAGTCCAGGTGAGGGTCACCATTTGACACATCATCGGAAACTTAGAAATAACTAACATGAAAATGGGTCAAAAATTTGATCAACGTTAAAATGAAAATCTTGAATGAAGATTTTTAGAGGATCCAACCACAAGTCTTTAGAGGTATGCCACTTTGGAATCGGATTAAATTTGGGAAAGTTATGGATTTTAGAAGTCCAGGTGAGGGTCACCATTTGACACATCATCGGAAACTTAGAAATAACTAACATGAAAATGGGTCCAAAATTTGATCAACGTTAAAATAAAAATCTTGAATGCAGATTTTTAGAGGATCCAACCACAAGTCTTTAGAGGTATGCCACTTTGGAATCGGATTAAATTTAGGGAAGTTATGGAGTTCAGAAGTCCAGGTGAGGGTCACCATTTGACACATCATCGGAAACTTAGAAATAACCAACATGAAAATGGGTCAAAAATTTGATCAACGTTAAAATGAAAATCTTGAATGAAGATTTTTAGAGGATCCAACCACAAGTCTTTAGAGGTATGCCACTTTGGAATCGGATTAAATTTGGGAAAGTTATGGATTTTAGAAGTCCAGGTGAGGGTCACCATTTGACACATCATCGGAAACTTAGAAATAACTAACATGAAAATGGGTCCAAAATTTGATCAACGTTAAAATGAAAATCTTGAATGCAGATTTTTAGAGGATCCAACCACAAGTCCTTAGAGGTATGCCACTTTGGAATCGGATTAAATTTAGGGAAGTTATGGAGTTCAGAAGTCCAGGTGAGGGTCACCATTTGACACATCATCGGAAACTTAGAAATAACCAACATGAAAATGGGTCAAAAATTTGATCAACGTTAAAATGAAAATTTTGAATGCAGATTTTTAGAGAATCGAACCACAAGTCTTTAGAGGTATGCCACTTTGAAATCGGATTAAATTTGGGAAAGTTATGGATTTTAGAAGTCCAATTGGGAGCTTTGATTAAGTGTTCTTGGGTCCGTAAAGTTTTGTATGACTAAATAGTCATAATTTTGTTTCAATTTTTTTTTTTATTTCTAGGGATACAATCGTAAAATTCATTAATAAAATAAAATGTTTGTTTTTTAGCAAATGGGCTCTTATATAATGCTTAATACAAAATAATACAGAATGAGATAAATAATATCCATTATTATTATAATTTTATGTCTTAAGCATTTTGGAAACTAAGCACGCGTTTAAATTTAGCGGGAAAGGTGGATTTTTTAGTGCAAAGTCATGGTTGGTCAAAAGCATTTGGGTTGAGAGCCTTTTCATCATCTGGTAACACTGGCAAATTGTCCGAGTTTTTTTTTCCAACATTATTAACAAAATAAATAGCGGTCGAATTGCGCATAATACACTTGCATTCGCCAGCATTGCAAACTCATCCGGAAAATCAGGATAAAACGAATTTAGGCCAAACAAAATCCGCAGTGACCGAAGAAAATCAAAACAAGTGAAAAGCGACAAAAAAGAGCAAAAAACGTTAAATATGTGTAAGTTTAAAAACAAAGGGAGAGTGTAAAGGAAACGCAGTAAATTTAACTACTTATTAACAATTTTAAGTTAAAATAATAACTTCCTGGCCAAATTCTTTTGTTTGTTGTTGTTGTGTAGTGCGGGTGTCGTGTGTGTGTGTGAACGAGTGAGAGGGAGAGGGAAGTTTTGCTGACGCCCCAGCAACAAAAACAAATTAAAACCAGACGAAAGTAAAATTTCACCCAAATTTTTGTTTGTTTTTTTTATTTTTGACAAACTGGACAAACGAGTTTTTTTTGTTTTCTGTTTGGTTTGTTTAGATTGTTTTTGTGCCGGCTTTACGCGAAAGTTTTTAAAACGGCATTTTGCCTGCCTCTCCTTTCCCTCTTCTTTCTCTTCCTTTTCCCACGTTCTTTCGCTCCCCACCCGCAACTCATGTGTGTGTGTTTGCGAGTCCCGTTAAACTGGTTCTGGCTTAATTGCATCGTCCTCTCTCTCGCACATAACGGTTTTTAATAGGTATTTCTTAACGGCTTTTAACCCGTTAGCTTCGCTTATCAGCATCACCCACAAACACATTCTAACACCTGGGAAAGTAAATGAATAATGAAGACAAAGCACAGTAAATGGCGAAGAGAGTGAAAGAGATGAGAGATCCAAAGTGCATAATGGTAATGCCAATGTTAATGGTTTCGCAGCTGTTGTTCTTCTTTTTCCTCTTACTTTTCTATCGTTTTGCATTGCTGCCTTTGTGCCCCGGGCCACGCCCACTTTTCGGGGGGAAGCCCTGGAAGTCGGCCAAGTAGGAAATAATAAAAATAATGCCCATCTTCGCCAGATTTTGCTTTTGGTTGCGTCACAAAGCGGAACTATAGTTTATTTGAGATATTTCAGATATATTTTGTACAAAGAAAATGTTCTGGATCAAAAGGGTACTTACAAAATGTCAAGTTGTTATCTTCAGAAATTGTTGCATCCTACGGATAGATGTAACATAATAATGATAAAATATCTCACAGATAGATTAATCCTTAAACGATTTCCTTTGTAGAATTAACCAAAGAAAATTTGAATAAAGTTCTGGAAAGTTTGGCGTTATTATCTTAGAATGTTATCACAGTCAATCTTTATTTCAGTTAACCTTTTTTTTATAACAGACGAACAGCTGTGGTTAAAGTATTAGCATTACCAGATTAAAGCTATCCCAGTTATCGTAAAATACTTATATTTTTATCCATTTGAGCATGCAAAACATCTGTTCTGAACACAAAAAAAAGTACTGCAAAATATGACATTCTTGGCCAATATAATTGCCAATTAAATTCAAACAGCTCAGCTGTTTTTGTCGTTTAGGTTTTAAGTGTCGCTACTTTTTTCAATTGTTAAAAATTAGTTTCCTATGTAGAGATTTTATAAAAAAAAGTCGAAAGTAATTTTTATATTTACAAGATTGCTTTTCTCCTTTTGTCATTTAGTTTATTAACTATTCCCAGCAGCACCTAAAATTACTCGTGGTGAGACATCAAACAATGAAACATTGATTATAGAAGTCCTTGGAAAAGCGCTATCTGAAGTCGCTTCCAATCTATTTCTGTTATCCAAATTATTTAATTGTTACCTGTTCTCTGTTCCGATTTTGCAGTAGCAAAAATCACTCTTTTTACCTGCACCGTCACCACAAAATTCTCGTTTTTGGTTTCTTTTTTGGGTAACCCGATCCTCCAGTTTGGGCGGTGAGGCGGGCGGTGAAGAAGATCAAGATCAAGACCCCGAAACCGAGTCAAGATCCGAATCCGAATCTGTATCTAAATCCGAAAGCAAGTGTGGTCAAGATGTGGCAGCAGCAGCAGCCGGCGGTTTACTATTCAACCGAATCCGTCCGAGTAACTCACACAATATCCGGCGAACGTTGCCACTCCCATTTACTTGCAGCTGACAACAACAGCGGATCCGGCGGAGGAGGAGGCGGTGGCGGTGGCTCCGGGAACAACAATAGTGCTAATAGCGGGAAGAACTCGACGCACAGGGTCGACGAGGTGACCAGCGCCATTACCAACCAGTTGCTGGGCAAGTGGCGCAAGAACTTCTACAGCGAACCGAAGAATCTGCTGGCGCAGAACGTCTGCTCCCGCGTGGACCCCTTCGATGTGTGCCTCTCGCGAAAGGCTCTGGAGACCACCAACCATGTGTTCAACTACAAGGTGGAGACGGAGGGCAAGCCGGTGACCAACCAAAGGAGCTCCGGCCGCTGCTGGCTGTTTGCGGCCCTCAACTGCATCCGCCTGCCATTCATGAAAAACTACAATCTGGACGAGTTCGAGTTCTCGCAGGCCTTCCTCTTCTACTGGGACAAGATCGAGCGGTGCAACTACTTCCTCAACAACATCGTGAAGACGGCGCAGCGGGGCGAAAAGGTGGACGGCCGGCTGGTGTCCTTCCTGCTCCTCGATCCCACCTCCGATGGCGGCCAGTGGGACATGCTGGTCAACCTGATAGCCAAACACGGCCTCATGCCAAAGAAATGCTTCCCCGAGAGCTTTAGCTGCGAGTCCAGCATACGAATGAACGCCATACTGAAGAGCAAGGTAAGGGAATCGCACGAGAGATGCCTTCTTTAAACTCACAAATTTACACTATTTATATAGCTCCGCGAGTACGCCCGCCATCTGCGTGTGCTGCTGGACCAGAATCCAACGGAGGAGGAGATCGCCTGCAAGATCCAGGAGCAGATGGCCGAGATCTACAAGGTGGTGGGCATCTGCCTGGGCATTCCCTCGGAGACCTTCACCTGGGAGTACTACGACAAGAGCAAGAACTATCAGTCTATTGGACCGGTCAGCTCGCTGGAGTTCTACGAGCGCTATGTAAAGCCGCATTTCAACGTGGAGGACAAAGTGTGCCTGGTGACCGACCCTCGGCCGACGAGCAGCTATGACCAGGCCTACACTGTCGACTGCCTGGGCAATGTGGTTGGCGGCCGACCCGTCCTGTACAACAACCAGTCCGTGGAACTGCTCCTGGCCGTGGTCACCAAGTCGCTGAAGGCCGGCGAGGCCGTTTGGTTCGGCTGCGAGGTCAGCAAGCGATTCGCCTCCAAGCAGGGCATCGAGGATGTGGACGTGTGAGTGTCTTTTAATGGACAGTTTATCAGCTTTAGCTTTCAAGCATAACTTGAATACGGTTTATTTCGAAAAGGGAAACCTTTTTAATAATTTACCATTCAATTTCACTCTTGCCGCATTATTATTGTAGACATTTCATAAAGTGATTTCTATTGTTGTACTTTTTCCTAATTGATTTGATTTTCCTTTTTTTTTAGCCACGATTTCAAGCTGGTCTTTGACATCGACATACAAACGACATTCTCCAAGGCAGATCGTCTGATCTACGGCGAATCGGCCATGACCCATGCCATGGTCTTCACCGCCGTATCCGTGGACGTAAGTGCTCCAATTAACCCCATATTACCTCTACTAACTACCATTTCGATTTGCAGAAGGGTGGTGTGGCCCAGAAACTGCGGGTGGAGAACTCGTGGGGCGAGGATCGCGGCGAGAAGGGCTACCTGGTGATGAACGCCGACTGGTTCAGGGAGTTCGGCTTCGAGGTGGTGGTGGACAAGAAGTACGTGCCCGAGGATGTGCTGCGCGTGTTCGACATGGATCCGATCGTCCTGCCCGCCTGGGATCCCATGGGCACGCTGGCGCAGTAGGCCGCCATCCACATATATATTTAAATACAATATATACAAAGCTTTACGATCAGCAATCTTCGAGCGGCATCCAAGTGTTCGAGCTACCATACCAGCTTTCAGTTTTTGTGTACATTTTTTTTCTCTGGCCAGTTGTACCATTTTTCGAGCTTCTCCCTCACCCCCACTCCCGATCCCTTAGATATATGCATTTGCAATATATCCCACCAACTTCCCCAGTTCCCGTCAATTATGTAAAACAATAATTTGTGTTTAGTCTAAGTAAAAAACTAAAAAATTTCTCAGTTCTCCCCCAAATTACTTTTTTTGATTTAGCAGCGGGCAGTTGAAAATATATACAATACAAACGAGAATAAACAGATGAATAATGTAAATGCATTTTTTACGTATATACAATTACATATTAAATAAATATATTGAAAACATTTCTCTTTACCTACAACTCACAGTTGGAATAATCAAAAGGAACACAGGCCATGCCAATAAATTTACAATTATAAAATTTGATCGGGTGAACTGTCTTAGTTTCCCTCTTTCCGCATCCGCCGCTGCTCGTACTCGTAGCTGAGTCGCTGCCAAATGCCCAGGCACATCCGCACCAGGCGCAAATCCTTCTCAGCGTTGCTCCTCGCGAAGGCGTACTGCTCCCGAATCATGTGCTTCGCCGCTCGGAGCTGGCCCCGCTGGATCAGTGAAATGCTGAAGTACAGCTTGCAGCGCGCCTGCAGGAAGGGATCTCCCAGTCGCAGGCCAATCTTCAGCTGCTGCAGCGAGATCTTGCCGGCCGTCTCCGCCTGAAAATAGATTGGGTATTAGAACGGACTTTATGATGATTTCGGAAAGATTGGGACAAATGGAAATCCTAATCAGTATCATTAAATCTTTTTTTCTCCTTTATATGTAGGTTAACACGTTTTCAAGTGAAATAAAGATAAAGTTGAGCTTAAATTATAATTGTTATTCGAAATATAACAAAATGTATTTAATAAGAACTAACTAGATAATAAATAAAATCGAAATATTCTAGGTAATTTAACTGGTAACTTTTATTTAATATTTAAATAACGAGCTTCTCCGAGTTCTTGCACTAATATCTTAAAAATGTAAATTTTATCATGGAATTTGTAATAATTTCAATAGAACAAAGTTCTTAATTAAATTTATGTTGAACCAAACAATTTAATTACTTTTAATGAAGAAAAAGTTTTTGCGACCAGTTAAGCCAAATCGCCTAGAAGACTTACGCATCGTTCGAACTGCTCCCCCAATGCGGAGAATCCACCGCCCAGGGTGGAGAGCCAGGACATGAGGTGCTCCACCTCGATGTGCTCCCATAGGGTGTGTGCCAGGATGTCCGCGAATCGGTAGTCCACGGTGTCTTTTTTGGGCGGCTCGAAGGACAGCCAAACCAACTGGACGCCATGGTTGCTCTTAAGGCTCCTGGCCAGCTCCTTTTGCTGGAGGAATTCGCGCAGGTAGTAATTCCCATTGATGGCGTCCACCTCGATGCGCATCCTCCGCAAGGACTTCGAATCTCGACAGGAGTCGCCGGCCTTTCGGTTTGGACGATTGTGGAAGTGACGCCGCTGCCAGTAGTCGCAAACGCAAATAACCAAGGGGTCAGACATCTGGGGGGGATTATGTCCATTAGTATGACTCGAACTACTTGGTTCAAATACTCACTTCAATTGTGCAACCCTTTAGTCAGCCATATAAATGTAAAAAAGGCAAGAATATCAGGTAGATTCCACAGGTTCCTTGATTCCGTGTTGACTTGATTGATTTTCGTTTCAACTAGATTTTCACTGCTTTAATGAATTGATTTGAAGTCTTAAGGCCGCACTCATTATATAGAAAATGTGGGCCGAGTGTTTTTATTGTTCTTTTTCACTTTTATCATAAGTTTTAATTTATTGTTAAGAAATTCACAGAATAATAACAAAAGAGTTGCCACACCGCAGTCAGACCGCCAAAAACTGGCATGACATGGCTAAACCGAATGTGGCAACACTGGTTGAATGCTTGCTTATTGGCGCCAATAACTATCGATTTTTGAAAGATTAAATAAAAGAAATCCCTCTAAGCTAGCTTATTTTGGTTTAATACATATAAATTAAAAAACGTCAAATGTATTAAAGAGACAGAAAATTTTAGTTTCTCTAACTAGAAATGTTACTTAATGTTTTATGTTTTCTTAATAAATTGCAATAAAATTAATTTATTTATTTATCTTGGAGTGTTACCAGTTTTGTTACGTGTAAAACCGCTGTTAACTGCAATAAAAGACTTAATTAAAGTTAATAGGAATTAATTCTTAGATTTGTTATTCATAAGTTATTGGTAGATTTTTCCATCCTTCAGCTTATAGACATTGCAGTTTTTATTCTAACTCTAATTATTCAACTTACATTCCACATTAATCGACTGCTACAATCCACACGTCGTGGAAGTCGTTGAAGCGCGCAATTCAAATTGTTATAGCACTGGCAATTGCTGTTTAATTTCGGAAATTGTTCAATTTCAGACCCAGCTCGCTGCACCATGTGTCAATAATTCCGCGTGGAAATGACTCAATTTCGCTGGAGTGCAACTGCATCTTTTGTGGGCCTTCAACATGGCCATTATCATTATCAAACAAATGTTTCGCCCCTCGATTGCTCAGTGCCAACAAATCTGTTAGCAGTTGGCAATAATTGTGCAGCCAGCGGCAACATTGTCCCCACACTTTTCCCCATTCCCATTCATGATTTTCCCTATTCCCTTTTCCATTTCCCATTTTCCCTTCTTTTTCGTGGCTATTTTTGGCCATTGCCTTTTATTGTTAGTGGCTATGTTGTCATCGATGGCATTAATTTCGGTAAGTGCGCCCGACTATATATTCCCTCCTTCGATTCCTTTGGCCATATCCTCTTCTTCTTCCTCTTTCACCACACGATTTTTATGGCACGACATTTTTCTGAATTATGCGCTCAATTTCCGCTGAATCGTCCACGACTGCAAGCCCTTACATAAATCCCCACAATTCTTTATATGCATTGTTTAATATTAATTGGTCACAAGCCATCAAAATATAATTTGCACCACCAAAAATGTCGTTAAGTTTTTGGGCAGTTCTAATACCCTTGCAGAGGGTAACTATCATCCTCAGAATAGTCTTACAAAATAATTTCTAAAAATAAATTGTTAAAAAGTTAAAGTTCTATGTGGAAAAAATTACATTTTCTGATATTATTGGAGAGAATGGTACAAAGTCAAAATTTTTGATAGTAACATTATTATGCCAGACATAAAGATCAGATTCGTAAAGATGATTGAAAAATGGGAAACAAAAGCGTTGATCTCTTATACTTAAAGCGGTATTGAATACAAATGTTCCTAACTAAAAACGTATAATTATTAGTCTTATTTGTATGCAATTTTTATTTCATAATGTTCACGCTTCGTAAAACGGCAGCAACATTGTTGATTGCACTTTCGAGCACGTGCGCCAGATGAGAAAGAGTTTTGGGGGGAATACGTACCCATGTCGATGGGATGGGGCACTGACAGATCCTCAGGGAGATTTGTATGTGGGCGTGTCAGCAATATGTCAGAATTGCACTCGACAGTCGCGCATGCGTCCCCACAGAAAAGGGATAACCCGTGCGCCTCCTGCTCCAGCCATCCCTCATCCGGATCCTCCTGCAATCATCCATGATCTCCATTTTTTCGGGGTTTGTCAACCACTTGAAAGGGCGAAGAAAACTCATTGATTGGTAGTCGAATTTGTAATATCCTTGAATTTATTTAATGGCATTTTAGTGTTTCATATTCATTTGGGCAATTTTAATCCTAATCTTATCAAGTTAACCCAAGAATTAATTAATAATAATGAAGTAATTAAAATATAAATATAATTTTAAAATATCAAATATTCCAAATTTGATAAATTACAGATGAAAAATATTTTGAGCAAAAGTATATTTAAAAATTTTTAATAATTTATTTTTTGAATTAAGCTAGTCTTAAATCTCTTCCTTTTTAATATCTTTTAAAAACCCTCGTAATGTGAATATCACCCGAATATATGCTATCCTTATAAAACATAAACAAAGCCTCAAGTGTCAGCAACAACAATAACAACGGGGAAAATCTGAGGGGAAAATTCGTAGAGCGGAAAATCGAAGGCAACAACATAAACACGGTTTCACTTTCAAAGCGATTAGCCACGGATGCGCCCCGAACTTGTGCCGAAAATCCAGAAACGACAACAAACACACACAGTCGATAAGAAAAACAGTTTCAGTTTGTTATCCCAGCACTGAGAATATATTCTTAAATTTAATTTTAGAAATATAAACCTTTTTTTTTAAACTTAGCTTAAAATCCAATTTCTTTCTAAATTAAAACCAAAATCAAAATACAAATTAAATTTAATACAAAAGATTTAAATAAAATAAAAGCCATTAACATTTAAAATCAATAAAAAGAAACTTAATTCAATGAAATTCAAGAAATGTTATATTATAAATATTGTATTAATCGATCAGCATTATTCAGAAAAAAACCCTTTTAATTTAAAATGTATTTTTGTTGTCTAACTAAAATTTAACTAAATTAACTCCCTTGTTTTTTTAGAGTACATTGCTTGGCTCCAATTCAAAAAGTGGGCAATTCGACACCAGGCGAGTGATTGAAACGACAGGCGACAGCATGCACACCTACAACACACACACATGTGTGTGTGTGTGCCTAGAGTGGACCTACCACAGCGCCCGGCGACAATAAATATTCAAAATATTCACTTTACAGTGGCAGCGATCCGATCCCAGCCGACCATATTTCATGCCATTTCAAGTGGCCACTGGCTCGCACTCCCACCCTAACTTTTTCGGGCCACCCCATCCATTAGCCATTATCACCACATTATGATAGCACTGTATATAAGTCGGATCGGTGATATTGTACGTCATATACCACTTATCAGCCCCCAAAAAGTGTCGAAGCGAGATTGTGACAAATGCTATAAAAAGTCCACTTCATTTAGCGGCTGAATTCGATGGATTGGCCTTGTATTGGGTTTCTCGAAAAACACCTTACACCGAATGTACAACATTCCATCAACTGTCCGTATTAGTTACTCACTAGCTGACACATTTTGCCGATTTCTTACTAATTTCCTTTGAACACGCCTTGGACTACCATTGTCCCGAAATGAATCATTAAAGTGCAAATGAATCATTAGCAGATAGTTAGATAATCTATTCCGCTTCTACCCAAAAGGTCAGCTTTACGTTGCCCCAGGTTTCTAAAATTGCATATTTCTATAAAGCTATATTCATTCAACAATTCATTGGGTTACCAGCTGTATCCCATAATGTACATATATTAAATATACTTTGGAAATAGTTTCAGACCTTTTTGTTTTTGGATTTCTAAGAGTAATCTATTTTTATGAACATCCTATTTTTATAAAATACGTATTTTTAAGTATCCTTGAATAAAAAATGATGCATTACCTTGGGTCTTCTAAAAATCCCAAGCACCAAAATCAATCATATTTCTTTCCCTGTTTGCCCCAAAGAATTATATATAGTATAGTGAAGTATATATAATATATATATATAGGTAATCGTTTGGAGCGATCAGTGGGGCATGAGACACATGGACTTCTTATCATTAGTAACGTCACTCGTTTGACGTTTAACCTGCACGAAGAACTCAAAACTGAATTTCACACGCCCGAACATAATACTCAAAAACTGTGACAAGCCATCAAATGCGGCATTCATTAGTCACACGGAAATGGTGACACGATGGGAGGTTTCGAGATTAATTGTATGGCATATTGAACTTTGGCCACAACAGCCACTCACTCCAGTCACAAATATATATATATATATATATACTCATCTATTAGACAGTTGGAGATTCCCCAAAGGGCCGCATCTTCAAAGAACTGCGAGCGTATGCCTAAAATTTAATAACGCCATCATATATATGCCATATCTTCTGGCACGACTCCTATGGGAGGACCCATAAATAAGAACAAATTGGCATGCAATTCGCCTTAGAGCAGCGACCAAGTAGAACATAAATTTCTCATCACTTGCATAAAAATTTCACAAAAACAACGCCCAAGAACAAACAGATGTGTCGCCGACGGATTGGGGATTGGAGAACGGGGATCGGAGATCGGGAATCGGGGGATATGGAAATGATATGGTATAGGGGCTATGGGGTAGGTATACGGAAAGGAATTCAGTTGCAGGCGGCCACTGACGGGGAAACTTGTCGATAAGTCCCACAATGTTTAGGAACTTCCGAGAGGTAGTAGTTCTGGTAAATAACTCTGGGTATTAGATATATGTAAGTGTTTTATAATGTTTTCCTAAACATAAAAGGTGAACCAAAGGTGGAATCAAATGTGATTACCTCTGATAGTATAGAACGATATACTTTTGATAAGAGGTATTTCAGATATAGCGAACCAAAAGATACTAATAATGTTAATGCTATAAGATATTTTTAAAACGGTGTGAGGTAATTTAGTTATTATATTCTTTGGTTTTATGTATTTCAAGTTAATTATTCTGTGTTTTTTGATTTAAAATATTTTTGATAGTTTTAGGATGGTGTAGTTCTAGTCTGAGGTAATTAAGATATTATATACTGTTGCTTTTATATATTTCAACTACAGAATTATTTTGTGATGGTAATAATGTTTCCGGTAAAATGCCCGGAAGGTAATATAAGTGTTCTATATGAGATATCAGATATATCGATATCAGATATCTTTGCTACATTGAATTTATAATTTAACTAAGCTTTGGTGTAGTTTATTTATTTATTTATTCCCGGCACACTTCTAAAAAATGCATGGAATGTTTTTATTAGACAAGTTATAAACTGATTAGATTATGTGTTTATCTATACATATTCTAAATCAAATACGTGTTTTGTGGATTTTCAGATTTCGGTTTCACTAGTTGCTAGGCGTAAAATTCGAAACTAAGGGGCATAATTTGGGTTATACCTGTACAGAAACCATTTTCCAATTTAAAATGTTTAGGCAGCTAATACAAATTCAAATATATTTGATCGAGCGAATGAATAATGAGGCATTAGAAGACCAACACACCCATGAAAATGCCAAATTATTCGCTTGCCTTTTATCTACCCCTTTAAAATATAGCACATGACAGCCTATGGCCACCGCAAATCCTCAATTTGGCATTTAAATCCATTTCGAATCGATCGATGGGCTGCCAATTCTTTAAAACATTTATGTACTTATATGCCCCGAAATCGATATTCCATTGGCTGGAGATCCATTTGCCTTGTCAATCGTCGGGGGGAAAACTTATCAGAGTGTGGAAAACTCATTTCGAGGGTCGATGGACGCGCAATGATAACAAAGGAAAGTCGCTTGGAAATCAAAGAGGAGGGAAATGCAAGATACCATTTTATGGCTTCCTTTTCTCGATCTTTCCCTCCCTCCCTTTCCCTGGACCCCCATCGCCTAACACTCCCCCAACTCCTTCTTCCTGAAACATTACTCCATTAACTCCCACCATCTAAATCTACATTTTTAGGCCTATAATGTATATACTCCTGCAACTCTGTTCCTTTTTCTTTTAATTTAGTTCATTTAATTATACCTTATATTTCTGATTTTGACAGCACTTAGTACTAAAATTGAAGATTAAAAAAAAGGGTTACATTTTTCGCAAATTTTTAAAGTTAGTTACATTTTTCAAATATTTTTCAAATATTTTCCAAAAACTTTTTCTTTTTTACCGGTTTTGTTAAAGTTTTAAATTGCCTTACCAAATTTTTGTGCTACATCCAATATAGAAATATAAGCTTATCTATTTTCTTTTAGCGAAAAAGTATTTCAATTTTGTTCTATTAATGAAAAACATATCAGAAAACACTTAATTAACAAGAAATTTATGTACGAATTTCACCTTTAAGATCACAGTGTTCTGGAAATATTTGTTCACTTCGAACTCCTCCTTTTCCACAACTCCTATTCTGTACTCCCTCCCCTTTTACATACCCCCATTTCCCCATTTTCCAACGCATTTTCCAGCCTCTTTTGCTCGCTGCTCTTTCGTTGGTTTATCTCAATTAAAACAACGGCACATTTTGTTTAGAAAGAGACGGGGCACTCAACAAAAAACGTTCGCTGAAGAGAGATCGAGATAAAGTGCTATATAGCATAAACAAAATGGTAAATGGAAAATCGTTTTTCCCCGTGGCATTTCCATTTCCCAATTGACTTCGGCCATTTTAAAATAAAATTCGGGGTTTTTTTTTTGTTAATTTATGCTTTTGTTTTTTTAATTTTCCTTGTTTTTATTACTTGAAACTGTTTCAGTTTTTATATATAGCGAGATATGTGCTTGTATTTACATAGAATAAACGAAATAACTAAAATGTTAAGCAAAAAAAAGTATTCATATGTATATATTTAAATTACACTACAAATTACATCAAATAATATGTTTTCTGGTTTTCTACATTTTTTTCACATAAAGAACTAGGCTACAAAAAAAAATTTATTTATTATAGTAATTTTTTTGTAGAAATACTTGTAATACTTGTTGCATTTATATTTGGTTTTCTGGCTGCTAATACTTGAATCCTGCATTTACCAACAAAATTGATTCTAAAATCAAGAAAAGATCCTTCAAAGGAGATTTTTAATTATAAATATTGGTCTTAATTTTTATAAATATATTTCTGTCTGCTATTCTAATTGTTTCTATTTAAAAAATATATGTTTGATTTAATAACGAATGTTTGCCAAGCCTTTGTTGGAATATTCCATGATCAAACAAGATAATAACACACATTAGTTTACCTTTATGCATTTATATAAATTTTAAAAAGGATTTTTGAACTTAAAATAATTTTATATCTCCAAGTTCAAATAGATTTGGCAGAAATGATTGTATCAGTTTATTTTAAAACATTTAAACACCTTACTTCTTGAACTATTTTTTAGCGTGGCACCAGATCTACTTTAGTTTAAGAAAAATGTTCAGGCAATTTAAAACATTATGTAGAATATGTTAACTAAAATTCTTTTGATTCTTATTATAGTATATTTTTTACCCCTAACAAGTGATAAATAAACTTTAAATTGAAGGCAATTACAAATATTTCTTTAAGAATATTGAAACTAGCTCGATTTTTGACAAAAATTCTTGATTTTAGAATGAGTTTTTAGGTTTCAGATCTATTTAGCTTTGGCAGGAATACTTTGTGTTTTAAAATATTGACAAACGAATCTTAATTAAGTGTATTAAATAATTTTTACAGGCAAGTTAGAGGTTATTTTTTGAGAATATGTGAAACGAAACCGATTCCGGATACTCGGATACTCGGAGATCCTGTTCAGCGGGGCACCATCTCTATGTAGCTGCTGGGCCGCATCATCTGGTGATGGGCCGCCGATCCGTAGAAACTTGGATAGGTGGCCCCCATTCCGTAGGCGGCGGCTGCCGCGTGTCGCGACACCTTCAGCTTGTCGTAGGCGCTGGCATATGGCCCGTGGGCGTGGCTGTGGGCGTGGCCGTGGGCGTGGCCATGGTGATAGTGGGCGGCGGCAGCAGCAGCCGCATTATGATGGTAAATGGCACCAAAATTGCTCTGTTCCTGGGCATAAGGCTGACCGATACTCGAATAGATATTGGCCGCAGTCATCACTTGTGTTGCTCCCGTGCCAGCCGATGTTGCAGCTGCTGCTGCTGCTGCTGCTGCCGCTGCCGATGCAGTTGCTCCCGCGGCAGTTGCTGGCGGAGATGCGGAGCTGGTGGAGTGCGGGGTGAGGGGATGCGACTGCGGCTGGGGCTGATAGCCATGGTGATAGCTTCCATACTGGGTCTGGTTCTGGCTCTGTTGCAGCAGCGATTGCTGCTGGTTCGCCTGGTGTTGCTGGTGGAGATGCTGCTGCTGGTTGCTGGTCTGATGTTGCTGGTGCTGTTGCTGCTGCTGCTGCTGCTGCTGCAGTTGCTGCTCCATCTGGAAGCCCAGCAGATCGGGGGAGTTGCCGGAGGTGGAGCTGCTGGAGGGCGTGGCCGGCAGTTGCAGGATTGCTGCCTGTTGCTGTTGTTGTTGCTGCTGCTGCTGCTGTTGCTGCTGCTCCACGCCCAAGTCGGTGCAACTCAGGCTGAAGTTGCTGGTGGCCGCCGTTCGCTCCTTGAGTTGCTGCTGCTGCTGCAGTTGCTGTTGCTGTTGCTGCTGCTTCATGCGAGCCTGGCTTTCGTGGCTCATCGAGGACATGCTGCTGCCGCCTCCAGTTGTCCTGCAAATGTAAACAAATTACATTTAAGAAGGATAATCAATACAAATATTTGGGTTTTTAAAACAGAACATTTTCTAACTTTTTAGCATATCGTCAATATATATAATTATGAATTGAAGTGAAAAAGAATGTTTTGGATAGTATTACAAGTATTTGTGTTTAAAATTGGTAAATAAAAAAATAACAAACATATTAAACTTATGAAAACAAAGGTTACCATCATCAGTAATATAGAAAATTGTAATTATTTTTTTTAGAAAACATTACACTATTACAAAACTGTAATTGTATTAAAACAAAAATTACGTTGAAAGCGTTTTATAACCAGCAATTTTTGTTGAACCCTTAAGCAGTAATTTAGAAAACTACATTTACACAATTAAAAGCGAAAAAGAATGTTTTAGAAAATATTATAAATATTTGTGCTCAAAATTGTACAGAACTAAGCCGAAAAGCATGGACCACAAACATTTGGAAAAATGCTTGAAAGTTTGAAACAAAAAACTCAAAATTATTTGAAGTATTCCCTGTAATAAACAACTCTAAGCATAGTCGTAAACAAAATTGGGAATTGCGGACCGCTGATTTGTTTACACTATGCTGCAAAGTCGGGGCCTGCAGTTCGACAAATATGAAAAGCCCCCGAAAATTGTTTATGCCGCCGGCACATCTGTCAGCCGTCCCATCACCATCATCATCAGTCCCATTCCAACTCGACATCTTCGGCTTCTGTTCCACATTTTCAAGTTCTTTTGTTTTTGAGTTATTGTTTCGTTATTTCAAGATTTTCAATACTTTCCGGGAAAGTCTCTGCCCGTCGACCGAATGTCTAGTTCCACTTGGACTTCGGGATCTGAAGTTTCTTTTTAGGGGAATGGATTTTCCTACAAGTTTTGGATAGCGGCTGAAGTCTTCAAGTGTATCATTGTGGGTCAATCCCTTCTGATTCCGATTTACAATAACTATTTAAACAAGTTTCTATAAAGAAATTGCTTAAATTTATATTGCTTATATTTTAACGACACAATACAACAGGAGATTGAATAACAGTTTTTGTAATGAAATTCAAACTTAATTACAAAGAACTAAGTTTTATAATGCTGCATTGCGAATGCTGTTTTCATTCAAACTAAAATCGCAATCCTTGTAAAACACACATACTTGTGTAACATTTTGTAATAAAATCTGTATTTAATAGCGGCTGTCAAAAATATAGAACAAATTCAAACACATGTTTTTATAAATTGTTTTATAATGAAAGGCAAGATTCCTTTGGCACAGTTTTTCTGACAAATTATTAGGCATTGAAATTTGCACAAAAATCTAATAGGTTGTGTGCGAAAAAATATTTTACGCAAAATGCTAAGCAATTTGTTTTGTAATCTCAACAGAAATGGGTTAAATGGATTAATTTGTCAAGTGATCTTAACTTTGAAATATTTTAAACAATATATACTTAATATACTTACACATCATTAGTGCCATCATCCCGAAAACCTTTGGCGAATGGATTGCTGGAGATCTTCAGCTGTGTCACCTGCAAGAGTCGAAGAAAATGGGAAAATATTTTTATTGGAGTGGAAAAGCATGATGAGTATGCCGAGAAATCAAAACAAATAAATTAAATACCCAACAAATTAGAGAAAAATGTTTACAACTGGAATTCCAGTGGCAGCGAGAAGACAGGGAAAATGATTTGCAATAAATTTGAGGGCGGGTGGAAAAAGTGTTAACACCCACATTGAGCACATAAATAATTTAAATACTTTCCGAGCATGTCTAGGCTGTATTTATAGCAAATGTACCCAAGCCCCCCGTCCCCGAAATTCCGCGTTCCCCGTTCCCCGCTCCACTTTCCGGAATTATGAATTATACCCGAGACAAATTCGAGAATTCGAGGGGCACCTCGAGTTGCCTTGGTTCGTCATCCGACTTGCAAGTGCTGTACGATAAGATATGAGTGTTCTGGGGTCCCTCGAAGTTCGGCTCACTTTTCAAAGCTGATATACTAAACCCCCATTTCGAACAGCAAGTGGCATGTGTAAATTTTGTTTGTCCTAGGTAACGGCCTGCATTTAAGTATTTATTTGTATAAAATATCACCTGGCCCACCTGATTGTTCACCTTTCGTGGTGACGTTTTCTTGGAACATTTGATTCCACAGAACTTTTGATAAAGCTTAACAAAGGAACTTGATTGTAAGATGTTTATCAAACTGAAGTTGTTATCCTATTTCAATTAAAACAAATATTTAAAAAATCTATGACTAATCCATTGATTCAAGCTTAATAGCCTGATATATATAGATTACTCAATATATATATATAATTCTTAGGGTATCCCCTTGGTCGATCATTAAGTTTCCTGGCTAGGCATACACTTTTGTTATATATAATCAAATATATTTGTGCTGCCGTTTCGTTTTGCAATGGATGGGGTCGCGGCACCGGGCTCCGAGCTTTGGCCGCTGTTTGTTATAAATTATGGGAAAAACATAAACAATAAGGCCGAAATGGCACAAAATGGTCGCGGCCTCTTGTTTGGTATGCCAAGGGAAAATCGAGAGGGTTTAAATGCGGAGGGGAATTGCATTGGGCAATTAGTTTTTGTTTAAAAAGAATAGCTAAAAAGATATTCTTAACTTTTATGGGTTTTAAAGAATTTTTTAAAATGCAAAAGTGCTCTGAGGTTGTTCTTTAATTGGTAGATATTTTGTGTCGAACATGTTCATAAAATAGTTATCTTTCCTTATCTTTAAATGATTGCTTTGCAATGCAACTTGAATTTGGTTTAATTTATACTATATTTTCATAGTTATAAATTTGTTTTAAAAGCTTTGAATAATAATCCCAAATTTTTATTTATGGTTTTATTCCTATGAATATTATTTAATAATTTTTTAAAAACGAATTAACCCCTGTACTAACCCGCTGATTCTGGTAGGCAGTTACGGCCGTAAAACTCGTCTCCGGAAAGATGAAAGTGCGGAAGTGACTGGAGTGCTCGTTCTCATCCAAGGACGCATTCTTCGGCGGCAAGTACACCAAATGGAATCGTGGCTGATAGCGATGCATTGAGTTCAGAATGATCTGTAAATGGATGGGAAAAAAGAGAAAAACCAAACATTATAGGCACACTGAAAAAAACATTAGGTGGTCAATTTATGACTTTGGAAACAAGGCAAAAGCAAACAAACAGCAGTAGAAAAATAATAAACAAACAGAGTGGCAATCCCCTTCTGATTCATATCAAAAATACCCACAAATTAAAGACGGATTAAATAGAAAATAATAATAAAGGTAAGGAAATACATAGGATAACATTTGTTTTGAGCGTTAAAGTAAATGTTTTTTATGTTAAAAATATAATTTAAAAGGTATGAATACATAATAATTATAATTAATCAAAGTTTGGTGGACTCACATGACCATTTTCGTCCAGCTGGTTGTTTGTGAGCTTCAGCTTGTCGAAGGACACGATCTGCTTCATCCAGTTGGAACCGGCGGCAGGTGAGTCGGGATGCACATGAATCCTGGGCGGGGAGATGGGATCCGCTTTGCCAGCCACCACCCAGCAGGAGCTGAAAGATCACAGTAAATATATCCTTAATGTAGACAAGTAGTAGTAATGTAAATAGAGTTTTTAACTTGAAAAGATCTTTTTAAAAATATATTTTGTACTTATATATGTTTAATAAATATCTTTGTATATTTCATTGTAATAATTCTACAATAACTATGATTTGCTCACTTGTGAAAGGCGTAGCGGTATCGCTTGTCATCCATGGGCACGAAGTCCATCATGCAGATGTAGGTGGCGTGGGGATCGAGGCCCCCGATCCTCACCTGGAAGGTGGGGAACATCCGGCGACCCGTCTTCGTGATGATCATCTCGGTGCCCTGAGCGTGGAACTGGTCCCACAGCGCCTTCGTCTCCAGCACCACGATGGCCTGGGCGAGCGATGGATGCACTGGCTCCGATTCCTGAATAAAGCCAAATATTTAATATAAATATATGTATGTACAAAAAACATTTCTTATTTATTATTTAAAAAAAATATATATAAATAAGGATTGAAATCATGACAAGATAAACGGAATAAAATTAGTCTAAACTCAAGTGATATAATTTTCAAATACTTATGAGGTACAAAACCATAGAATATTCTGTATTTATTTGTTAAGAAAAAAGAATATGTTTTTTTTGTAATTTATTTTATCAAGAGTTAGTGCCCAATGAAACCTAACAAATTTGAATGGGTATTTTGAAGAATTAAAATTCGAAAACTGGCTAAGCTAATTTCAAGGCATAAAAAAGGGACTTTAAAATAATAGATTATATTTCTATGTAATAAATCTAAATAATATATCTATATAACTTACCCCTTTGCTAATGTTGTTGCTGTTGTTTTTCACTGTATTACTGTCCGCACTGTTGTTGTCTTTTTTGTGTTGGCCCTTGTACTTCTTGGATCCCGTGGATGCACTTGCTCCGCCCGCCGCCGTCGATGTTGCTGCTGTGCCGGCGGATGTCGCTGCCGTCGAGGCTTCACTGTTGCCGCCGGGATAGTCGGGGGGCAGGAGGGACGAGGCCGAGGAGTGCTCCTGGCAACTCGGATTGGAGAGACTGCCACTGCTGCCGCTGTTCGCGGTGCCAGTGCTGCCTGTACTGTGCGCATCGATGTCCGCCAACTTGGCATCGATCTGCTCCAGCGGCTTGTACGAGCTGCGATCCTTGCCAGCCGTTTGGATGCAGGCTGCAATGGGGGATTAGGATTGGGAATTAGAGGGTCAACGATGGGGTTGACAAATCATCATAGTTATAATAGTAACATAAGTCAGAGGAAAAATGTAACAACGAGAATAAGATGAAATGGGCAAGATGGGTTTTCCTTAAGGTATTTTATTTTAATCATTGTATTTATTCATTGTGTAAAATTGTGGTAAAATGAATACCCATAAAAAAATCGATTAAGAATTTAAGAGACATTTATTGGTACTTCCTGGTTGTTTAAAATTTCTTGATTTATAAACTATAAGATTTAACTTAAGGCTTTAAATAAATCAATGTTATGAGAAGAAAAAAACGACAATTGTTTTTGGGGCATATAATGTGTTTATACATTTAAAAGGAACAAATTCAAAAATTGTCATTTATCAGTTGAACAGCATATTCATAGTACTGAAATCGTTAAGATTTTTCAAACTTTGAAAATTAATGTTTTCTTTCAGTTTTAATAAAAAAGCTTTGGCTCTGATAAATTATATTAATTCTTGTTTCACTTGTCTAGTTGAATAAGTATTTCATACAAAAATAAATTATTTAATTATAATAAATAAATATAGAGATCAGAATATATAAATCTTAAGTAAACTTTTATTAGTTTTTCTTACACTTTTTTCTTTTAAGAATTGAAATAAAATATTACCTTAACTCACTTTGTGCCGAACGAAAATGCCCCTTTCATACAAATAAATAAAGAGCTCAATTCAACCTACTTTTGCAGATCCCTGACAAATGGGCGGAAAATATTCGCCTATAAATCAAACCCGATCCCCATATATATGTGTAAATTGTATGCCAAGTGAATGGGCTTATATATAGCCGCTGGGATTTGCTAATTTCATATTTAATGTGATTTATGCGATTTAAAGTGGAAGTCAGGGAAACACGGAGACGCCACGCCGGCGCAGAGTCCTGATTAAAGATCCCTTTAGTTTCTGCCTTTTTACACACTTTTATTTGTAATGAGCCGACTTTCGAGTTTCGAGGCAAATGGGACAACATGTCCAATTATAAAACGGCATCGGAGCAGTGGCTGCTGATTGAGTTGCCCGCTCTAAATTTAGGATCTCCCCTTTTCGGAGGAGATCTCCGCTGAAGATCCCTGAAGATGCTGGCTTTCGAGCGGATTTTCTGCAATTAATTGTCACCGTCTCGGAGAATTGCGGCGGGAATTGCCGGCAATGACCCATGACAGGTCGCCCTTTGCCTTTTTGTCGCTTCATGAGACGCTAGCTCTTTTTTCGGCATTTTTCGCTGCACGAATGAATTCTAAAATCAATTAACGTTTGGCACAACAAATCGTTTTTCTGTCACACCACAACATCAAACAACAACAACGGAGAAATGCCACTTGAAAAACGAGACTCGAGAGTTGAGAATTGAGAATCTCGGATCCGGGAATTCGGAGCTAATTGCTCGGGTTTTCTGTTTTTTTTCTTTTTTATTCTGGTTGTTCATGCCGCCTCTGCCATGGTCCGTGTATTTTGCTAATTACTGTATCGGAAACGGATTTTCTTTCGCTTTTTTCTGGGTCACTTGCAGCCCAAACAAATGGTATGAAATGTATTTTGTCACAAACGTACATTCCTTGGAGTTATTCAGCATTTATTTTGGCCTTTGTCAGTTGTAATTGTAATTCGTTTTTACGGATTTAAACTCAGTAAAGCATATAGTTAAAATAGGAACAAATAAATTATATATTTTCCTAGTTGAAATGTTTACTTAGCATTTTAAAATTATAACATTTTATAACCTGCGATAAGTTAAACATTTTATCAATCCTATGTATAGTATACTCTTTTAAAATGGTACATCTTTTTACAATGCAGATCATAAATATTAGTTTAGTTGCCTTAAAAAACAAATCAACAATCATTAGAAAAACTATTGAAAACCCTTTTAATACAAATGACAGAAATCTGTCAATACTTGAACTATTAAATAGTGAACATAATTGTAAGAGTGAAAAACCTTTTAAAGGGATACCTTTTAATGAAATTGGAAAGATCATTAGTGCCAATAAATGTATGTGTATATTTATTTTTAAATATTGTTTTGTTATTTTTTGTTATCTTTTATCAAAAAAAATATTTCATGAATTTATCAAACAGAAAAATACATTTTATTCTGCAAAAACAATAATAATAATATTCTATCAATAGTGACTTTTCTTGTAAAATTGATTGAATTGATCTTTAATATATTAAATCACTTTTATATAAGTAGATTATTTACTATAGTTGATATACAAAACATTTTCTTTTCTTAAGTTGAAGTTCAAGCATTAATATTTGCCACACACTTTTATAAAGGTCAAAGTGTGGTTTAAACAGTCTAAGGTTTTAAATTTTCACAAATTTCAAACAGATTCACATATTTAAATATAAACACAGATCGGGGGAAACCCCTTAAAAATACAAACTGGTTGTAGTAACCCACTTGAAATGCAGGAGTTCCTGCTCCTGGGATCACCCAATCCCTATCCCAATTCCAATCCTAATCCCAATCCCTATTCCAATCGGGATCCCTAATCCAATCCCGATTCCAATCCCAATACCGATCCCTTCCAGCTGCGCGGCGGACTCACCTTCGATCTGCTTCATGGGACTGAGGCCGCCGGTCATGTAGGGCGAGGTCCAGTAGTCGTTGGCGTAGCAGTTGTAATCCGGGAGGCTGGTGTCGAGGAACTGCATCGAGGTGGTCATCATGGCGCTGGCGCACTCCGTGGGACCCATCAAGTGCGTCATCGCGGCCTGGATCGGTGATCTATGTGCGCACGGATATCGTATTGTGTGTATAGCGGGGGCTCACAGTAAAAAAAAGGAAATCGCACTGAATTCTTGGCCCATTTATTCCGATTTGATTTGTTTTGGCTGCGGTGTTTTGATCTCGAACGTTTTTCGCGCAGTTGTCAAATTTGATTATTGCACCCGCACACACTCACTATCTCCCTTCCACTCACTCACTCACTCACTCACTGTGCACTGCAAAAAAAAAAATGTTCTATTGCCGACGTGGGGGTGTGAAAAATCACCGCAACCTTTCGCAGTTGTCAATCAGAATTTCGATCGAAATTGAATGAGAAAAATAAATAAATTAATTCCTATTTTCTTGGCTCGAATGTTTTTATGGCCCGATCGCGTTGACTGGCGAAAATTTCCTCTTTTTCGCTTTCCTGCCTGATTGATTGACTTGAACTTCTTTTATTTGTTTTCTTTCTATTGGCGCTATTTCGCCTGGCAGAAAGCGTTGAGTTGTCTCAATTGCCACCTTCTTCCGGCCAAGTGCGAACTGATTATCCGTATATATCGCACCGATCTGATTGTGATTCCGATTCTGATTCTGATTCTGATTCTGTTTCTGATTCCGATCCGATCTCTGATCACGCACACATCCGTTCCGTCAAGCGTTTGTCCGCCGAATGAGAGTTCCCTTTCTCGAACCGTACCACACCGAACTGCCTCTCGAGATCTTGAGCATATCATCTCGCATCCGTCCACCAATCGCCGCCAGCAGCATCCAAATTTAGACTCGGATCGATCCACCAATGGCCGAGGCGCCTCCTCCTCCTCGGATCGGGTCGACACATGTGGCCTCTGCGAAGAGCGCACTGTACTGGGTGGATGTATCCAGGGAATATGCCCGGTTGAACTGAGAGTAGGGTGCGGTAAGGGCATTTGCCAGATGGTGCCTACAGTGATGCTACAGTTGCGGAAGATATTATCACCAGATCCTTGCCGTTTTTTCCTATTGGAGTTTGTAGAAGTCCTAGGTTACTTTATATTGTTCAATTCATTATCAAATCCTAGTGTTTTTTGGTTAAATGCGAAATGTTGTTATAATATCATTACTACATAAAGCACGTGTCATAGCTTTTATGGTCAATCCTCTTTTAGTCAAAATAATTAAAGAATAATTATGATTTATGAAAATAATGGTTGAATATTTATAAAGTTAACTTGGAATCGGATTTTAGGAATGCGATGTGACTATATATCACATGTACTTTCTGATTTGTTATTTATTTTTAAGTATTTTATAAAATGAGAGATTACCTGTAAACACACAAAAAGTAAGAACAAAAGAACTCAAAGGAGTTGAATTCGTTTTATTATCTTAAAATATATTTCAAATAGTATAATACTATCTATAATATATCTAAGACAACTAAAAAAGTACTTGAAAGTAGTCTAATACTATTTTAAATATATTTTTGGATAGTAAAGATAAAGATTGTGATTTACCAAAGTGCATAGTTCACTGTAGCCCCTCCTCGAGTTCTCCTTCCCCAAGTTTCAGATTAACCGTTTCAAAAATTCCTCTCTCTCTTTCTTTCTCTCTCCTTTTGGTGGGGCGTGGCCTTTGGCGGAGGGCGGGAGGGGGTGGAGGGGTTGCTGATCCCCATTTGGACTTTGTTTACTTCTTGCAGGGGGCGGCGGGCAGTGGGCGTGCCCGCCGAGTGGGTGGCTGACCTGAGTCATGCGCCTCATTTGGAAAACGCTTTTAATTGGACTGCGGCCACATGGTGCTCATGGGGCTCATGGTTCCCGAGGTGCTGCTTCTGGTGCTGGTGCTTCTGGTTGTGGTGCTGCAGTGCAGCCGATGGTGCTCCTGCCAGTGGCCATAAATACAAATTGCGCCATAACCTCGACACTAAATAAACCGTAAAAAGGAAAACGGAATATTAAGACAGTGGAAAGGCACACAGAGAATAAAAAATAACAAAGAAGTCTGATTTTAAAATTAACAAATGCTTAACTTTTGAAATACTCTCCATTTAATTTAATAAAACAATATAAACAGCGAAACAAATTGTTATATTTCCAAAAAATACAAGTTTTTAAGCAATTAAAAAAAAAATTAACTTTTAAAAGAAAATAAAAGAACTACAAATTTGTTCTAACATTGGCAACCATGTTTATTTTCGAATATAAAAATGTATAATTATTTCGATCTTAATTCGAATGTTTCTAAAGGAATTTCCAAACATTACAACATTTATTAGGACTAATAATTGCATATAACTTTTGAGCATACTAAAAGTATTTGATAAGAACTATTTTTTAACAAAAACCTCCGCTCAAACGTTACTAGTTATTTTTTTTGGTTTTAAATAAATTTTTCTATATTAAAAAGCCTTACAAATCAATTAGTGATGTTCAAATTTGTTTGATATTTTATTTTGCATAATTAATTGGGCTGGAGATGTTTGACTACCACTAGGTAGTGATTTTATTACTTGTACTTGTTTCTTCTTTTCGCTCAGTGCAGGTGTGCGAGGGAGGCAGCCAAATAAGGGGGCCATCAAGGGAGAGCGAAAGAGAAGGGGCGGCAGTGGAGCCCCATGAAAATGGCGTCTGTTGGCCATTAGACCCTGTGGAGATCCGGGGAACCCGAAAACCGAAGAACCGAAGAACCGAAGAACCGAAAAACTGGACCGATCAAAGTGAACACCCCCGATAATCAGGGGGCGTCTGCTTTCCATCAGCCACGGGCATTCAATTAATGGTGGATTGGGGATTGTAGAGGGTAGATAGTACCTGGTATATATGGTGTCTGGTAGATGGTATCTGGTACCTGGCCGGGTCTCCACCTGAACCGATTTGTTTACCTTCCTCCTATATAAATCTACGCATCCAGTTGCGCCCAGGATTTATCCATTATCCATTTATGGAACTGCTTGTTGTTGTTTTTCCTTGATTTTTGTGTTCGCATTCTGTTTACAATTATTTTGAGTTAAGTGGTTTCTTTCTCCAGTTTTTCGTTTATTTTTTGGCATTTTCAGAACCATTGCGATCGCATCGCATCGTACCATGCAGTCCATAAATAATTCATAAATTTGAAAAATTGTTATGGCATTGGCCATGCCATTATTTGTTAATTATTTGTTTGAGTATAAACAAGTCCGAATTAAATGGTTACTGCTGGGGATAAATGATTTCGAGTAATACGTGCGCAGATCGGCTAAAATTATACATTTGCACTCAGTGAGGGCTTACTAAAAATATTTTTAAGAAATAATTACTTATCAGTATTAAATAGTTTTCTTTCGAAAACAGGTTTAAAAACTAATTTGGGGAACAAATATATTTAAAGCTATCTTAACAATATTGGATTATTATTTAATTTGCATTTTCTTTAGAACAAAAATGATCGATCATTTTAAATCCAGTTGTATATATACAAAATAAGTATTTATGAATTAAGAGCAGATAATGTTATACAATAACTTGCTCATTTATTAATATGTAGCATACATTATTTTAATGAACCTATATCATTTAATAACATTTAAATAGAGTATTAGTATAAATCATATATTATAAATGAAACCAATTCAGAATCTGGAGTATCAACATTTACCTTATACTTAAATGGAGTATTAGTATAAATCACATATTATAAATTAAACTAATCCGGAAAAAGGCTTTTTTAATTTTATTTTAACACAAATTTGGATTTCAAATTGTCGGTTGAAAAGTTGGTTGTAAAGAATTTCGAACTGAAATGTGGCAAAAGACAAAATGCAGTAACTGAGGAACTACTTCTACTTCTTTTTGCGATTCTTCTTGCCCTTCAACTTGAGCTTAATGGACTTGCTTGGAGCACTGGTCTCCGGTTTCTTTGGGGGAGAGTCCACCAAGGGATCTGGGAGTGGAGCAGCAATGGGCACCAGATCCACCATGTTCACCAGGTCCTTTTCAATATGATCATCTGACTTCTTGGGGCGGCCAGTGAGGGCTAGGAAGTCCAGGCCATCGGAGGATGGCAGTATCAGGTCCTCGAGCAGCTCATCCTCGTCCTCCTCCTGGGTGAGTGGTGTGCCCGCGGGATTGGGGATCTCCCCACCGGCGACGCCCTCGCCGTCCTGGAAACTGTCCGATCCCTTGAGGAGTCCCCCCGTCTTGACCATCTGGTCGTAGCTTTCCGCCAAACTGGAGGACTGCATACTCGTCCGCTGCTTCTGCTCCAACTTGTCCAGGTCGCCCTCCTTGTCGCTGAGTTGCTTGGGCGTGAGGACGACGGGCTGCCAGAAGAGGTCCAGCGTGGACATCCGCTTGATGCCCACGTCCTCCAGGACACTCTGGTTGGCCAGGATGCGGCCCTTGTAGGTCAGCCGACTGAAGCCCATGGGCACGGCCATGGTGCGTCCGATCCGGGCCTTGAGGTGACCCACCGTCCCAAAGCGGTCCACCTCGTAGATGCTCTTCCGTCCGTCCCGCGTCTGCACCAGGATTTGCATCCTCCGCATCTTGATCCCGCTGAATGGAGTCTCCAACCACGTGACTCTGTCTCCGTATTGTCTTCGGTATATCCGTCTCCTAGTCCTGTGTTTTCTGAGCTCCAGTCTGGTCAGGGAAAAGTTTGTATGTGAGTGCCCTGCCGATCTGTCGTCATTTTAATGTGACTGGCGAAGCCAAAGCCTCCTGAGAAACTATATAACTACATTAATACATCATAACTAGAATATCCTACACAAGTACTACAAAAATTTGTACATATTTTAACTAAGTTTTCAATATTAATGATAGCCCATAGATCTTTCTAATACAGAAAATTATAAATATATTAAAAATATAAATATAAAAAAAACATATAAGTAAGATCATACTTGATTTTATATAAGTCTGTTTCAAGAATGTTTGGTGTTTTCTTATTTAAATCAAGAAAGAATTGTTCTTAAAATCTTAAAAAAAACCTTGATTCAAGTGTCAAACTCTTAAAATAAGAATAAGCTTCTTAAATAAACTACGTTTCTTATTTAAGTTAAGAAAAATAGATTAAAGAAATCTAATGATCATAGCAAATAAAAATTACATTAAATTAAGCAATAAATGTAATTTTTTTCAGACATTTAAGTACACAAAATTCTTTAGTCAAAGTTAAAATCAGACTTGATTCGCTTTTACTCCATTAAACAGCAATTATTTAAATTTCTGTAATATAATATAATAATGAATAGATGGCACGTTTTACATCAACAAATTTGGTAGACAAATTTAGTAGACATTATTTCCCTAAAAACTGAGTAGCATCCACAAACTGATCTATTTCCGCACATCCAGTTCGATTTGAAATGGCCCCGGAAAAGCGAGCCGTGAAAAGTAATTGACAAACATTCGGAGGCGTCGACACATTTATGCACCCCTCATTGGCGCAGAGAGCTTCCGGTTTGGTTACTGCCTCTGGTTCTGGATCGGAATTGGGATCGGAATTGGGATCGGAGTCGGGATAGGGATCGGGATCCATAAGGAGGAATGGAGTGCTGGAGGGGCACGATGTCAACTGCGGAGCGGAGCGTCAAGTGCCGCCCGTTGACACCTCGTAAACAGCCGAAAGCAAACAAAATGTTTGATCAATACTTGCCCTCCATTCCCATTCCCATTTCATTTTCATACTTATTTTTGTTCCAAGAAGTTTGTAAAAAAAATCCATAAAAATTCAGAAAGTTATTATCTTTTTTATGATCCTACTGTGTGATTTTTCATGTAGAAACACTTAGCTAATAAATTTGGCAGTGACTTAATTTCGTCAACAATTTATATAATTTAAAAACCTTAAATAAGAATTAAAGCATTTTTTAAGACTTGGTTTAATTTTATAGTTCCTTAAAATAACGAAAATGTCTTATTTGCTTTTTATCTTTATCTAAGCCTTTCATTCCCATTTAATATCAATTTTTAATCTTGCCTAAAGCTAACTAATTCGGTTTGTAAAGAGAATTAATAGCAACTATAATAATATTAATAACATATTAATGTTAATAGTTGTTATTAATAGTTTTAGAATCATTTAATTGATCAAGAATTAAATGTTGTTCTACATTTATAATAATTTTAAAATCCAGTTAGATGGGTTAGAAAATAATGGGGAGATAATGGTTTCATATCTTATGTATTTTCGTATATATGCCAATATTGATAAGATAGCAAGCAATTATTTTCCTCTTTGGAAGACTATACGCCGGCTTTTATTATTTAGTTCTCTAAAATTCCAACTTAAAAAAAGACCAGTTTAATATTTATCTCATTTAATTTGTATCTTTATTTTTGTTCAAGGTAACGACATAACAAAGACAGGGGGTGTAAAAAAAAAAAGTATATATCATTAATAACGCTTCTAGAAAAAAGTGGTTGAATGCTGAAGATGAAGCCTAGAAATATTGGAAGTTTGCAATCTTGAAAGTTAGATGGGAGGATTGACTTTCATCCGTGCGGCAGCAGTGCCTCCTTAGAGCCTCCAGGCGGCCAGGAGTCCGGCGATCAGGAGGAACGCGGACAGGGATCCCTTGAAGGCGGAGTCGCGGGCCAGCGGGATGAGGGTGTCGTTGTACTTGAGGAAGTTGCAGCCGCGTCCCTCGCAGGTGAAGCAGTTGCCATCCTTGACGCACTGCTTCTTGGCCTGGGCGGAGGAGAGGCATCCGCGCTGGAAGGAGCCGTCCACGGTGCGGTTGCTGTTGCGGATGTAGCACTGGTCGCCGAACTTGTACAGCGGGCAGATCGCCGCCGGCCTGTAGGTATCGGTGGCACAATCCGAGGCCGTCGAGTTGCCGCTGCACTGGAGGCACTGCGCCCGACTGGACGGGAAGTTGGCCCGGTTGCAGCCCTCGTTGTAGGTGCACAACAGGCACACCAGCTCGTTGTTGCACGCGTTCCGGGTGGCGTTGTCCAGATCGACGGCACATCCGCGGATCGTGTACCCATCTGCGGTAATTTAAATGAATTTGTTCAAATTATAAGTCCCTTATTTACAATATACATATTTGGATTCATTAAATATATATTTTCACTGCAAAGCAATTAAGTTATTTTAACTATACAAACATAAGCGAACCCCCATATTCCAAATTTGATACAATTGTGATTAATTTATGTCATAAAAAAAAACATATTTTCTAAAAACTACACCTTCTTTCGGAAATAAAAAAAGTATTAACTGGTAGATGTAGCTGATTAAACTATAGCAATCAAAAGTGTTTTATTATTAAAACATGCTTAAAATTTTACAGAAATAAAGTGAGTGAATTTCAGATTGATTATATTTTGTGTTTTTATTTGACTACATTTACTTAAGCGATAACAAGAGTATGCGAGGGCTTAGATCATTTAATTTGTATACTCAATAATATATAACTGATAATACTGGTATGTGTGCTTTATGTATACATTGACTAGAGTTCATTGCCATTATCAGTCAACGTAACGAGGTATGTTATAATCAATAGTTTTGGCAGTATTTATTAGAAAATTTATAGCTAAACAATACAATTATAAACAATTTCAATTATAAAATATACTTTATGTAACCAAGCATTTGCTCAAACATTTTTTTGGAGCACTAAAACTTATTTAGTTGGTTAAAACTGAATAATAATTTTCGGGAATATTTCTAAGCATACAAAAAAATCTTCAAATTTAAACATAATCGGTTGGAATGTATATATATATCAGGAAAATACTAATTTGTTTATTATTTAATTAGCCTTATTTATATTTTGGAATACTTTAAAGAATACTTTTCTTTGTGATCATTTAAATTTAAATAACCACAAAATCGTATTCATTAAATAAATAAATTACTAATGGAACATGACTGATTGCTTATGAAAATAATTAGGAGATCTTCAATATGAGGATTATGAATATGTTGTGATATTTCGAGATTGAAAAGTAGTATAGGATGACTCACCCTGGACGCGGGAGTAGCAGTTGGAGGAGCCGTCGGAGCAGTTCCTGTTGAGCAGGCTCACCGGATCGGTGGCGCAGCGTTCGTTGGTCTTGGAGTGGCACTGGATGCAGCCATCTGCGAATGGAGCGAGGGGAACGGAGCGTTGGGATTGAGTCTCGGCCAGGCCTGATTAGATTAGATCAATGGCTGTAGCCTCTGCGTTGGCATCCACAAATAAACAAGGGTGCAAGGTCCCCTCCCAAACAGTGCAAAAACATGTCTATTTTATCTCCTCTGTTTCATTTCCTGCCTGCTAATGACCCGTTCACCTGCTCTGCCTTAGTCTGATGGCACGCACTGTACTATCGCAGTCACCCTGCTCCCACAATCGATTCTAACCGCCGATGTGGACACACATAGGCCCCGAAATGAGTCAACGAGCATACATTTCTCTCTATTTGCCGCTAATAAGATAAGTAAAGTAAATTTACAGCGTTGACAATATAATTTAAGGTTGCAAACAAATTATTATGAAATTATTAAAACTTCCCTAGAGGGAGATTATGCATTGATTGGACTTTAATGTTTGCATCCATATTGAGAAAAATACGATAAACTAAATATTAATTTATAACAATTTTGATCTTGCTTTAAAAAACTATTAATGTGAAAGAAGCTTAATAAGTAATTTTATTTCAGAAATCAAAGCTTTTATTTCTAAATATTTAATCATTTAAAGGTTTGATAAAAGGTTGTTTTACAGCTTCATATTTAATACATATTACTACAATAGCTAATTAACTAAGCTTAATTTGTTCTACAGACATCATTGTAAGCATGATATGTTTATTTTTTTAATAAATTCGAGAACTTTCCGCTACTGAAAACAAGCCTGCATCGCTGCACATATATATTATATATCATCATAACGAGAAAGCAACCTACTTCTGGCATATGAATACGTACTTCATGGATACTATATATATCGAATTATTCGCCGGCTGTACACACAAACCAAAAAACGTTGGCCAAGTTAAAAAGCTTAAAACCTTTGACGTTTCTAGGCCTGTTGATATCTAATCACGAATTTATTTTCGTGTCCATGAGACCACCGCTTATCACACCTTCTTATGTAATGCACTCAATAAATCGTTCATTTGAAACAGGAAAAAAAAGTAATAACGATCGAGATCAGGAGGGAATTAACAAGGGAAAACCATTTACCACAACTGATGTAGGTCAAAAACGACACGGCGGCGATCACCAGCAGATAGAACTTCATGACTGATTTGGTTATTCGATACTAAACGAATGTGTTAAATTCAATTACTAATTTCACGGCGATCGAAGAAGCGACGAGCAGTAAAGCTAAACCAAGACTGACGGCAGTATCCGAAGTTCGTATGGGATTTTCAGTTGCCGAGCTTATGGAAAATAGATAAGGGCAATCGACTCGAACTGATAAGATGGCCCGAACAATTTATGGCCAGTGATTCACAGCGTAAATAGTTGGCTATTTTGTACACACTTTTCGAAGGCAAATATGTTTGCCGTGCACGTTAGCGGGTTGTCAGAGTGCCATTTTAATTTTATTTTTAGGGTGTTTTTTTCAACAAAGTTAAGTATTTAATATATACGTAATGCAATCATAAAATACTTTAGTATTAGTCACTATTAACTATTATAAATCTAAACAAACGAGTCAATAAACTGCACAAAGGAACTTTATTCTAAAGGTTATTATTTCTTAAAAAGACCTTACATTTTTAAATGAAGTTAATATTTTATATACAAACCTATAATGTTTATTAAGATCATTAATTAAGATAATTTAATTATCAAATTAAAATAAAAACAAATTTTAAAATATCAATAGTTGGTAACAAAAAGGCTCTTAAAGGGTTAATAGAGAGGCATTAAAAATTCAAATCCACGCGCTTCTGAGAATACATTCCACTTTTTACGATAACTAATCGATAAGTGCTCCTTGCCACTTCGCTATAAAAACACACAGTCTGGCAGCACTATTCAGATAATTTTTAATTTTTAATTTTGTTAATTTTTTATAGTTTTTAAGATTTTACTTGCATTAAATTTTCACTTATCACACGCATAAAAACTAGAAAAATTAATAACTTCGCGGTTTTGGTTTTGTTTACTTTTTCGTTATTAGAGATGTTAGTATTTGTAAAGTGAGACGTCGATAGTAATCGATGTTTAATGTTGTGGAAGGTTTAGGGACATTGGGGGTACTCCGCCCTGAGGATTCCGGAGCTAGCCGACGCCGTCCCAGGACATAGTGTAATACCTCTAGTTTCATTTGCTCTGCCCGCGCTCTAGAGTGACTTTGCCAGTGATGCCACGTAGGGGAAAAACGGAAAAAATAGAGTTTTTCTTTGTTCGATCGAACTGGAATCGAGTCCCATGGTGAATTCTTATTGCTGCACTGGTCGCTCTTATTCCTAAGAATAGGTGCGAGAACTCCCCATACTATTGCTTGTGCTCCGCACATGTTAGAAGTGGTGAGAAAGAGGGGAAGTTAGCTTCGAACATGGCACTCAGCAGAGCTTTAGCAGAGGCCCGGGCAGAGCAAATGAAACTTCTATATAGTTTCTTACTCTATGCCTCTATATAGTTTCTTACTCTATGACTCTATGCCCAGGACGATGCAGTTCCATAACATAGACTTAATTTTCGCTTTCCTAAAATCTGAGTAGCATCCCCACTCATAGCAAAATTAACCCTAATTTCAGAAATTTGCCATAAAACTTTATTTTTTCTAAATCCAAGAAAAGATTTCTATTTTTAAGGAATTTTTTTCTCAAAACAAGAAAACTTTTCTTGAATCAAGAAAGTGTTTCTCATAAACTAAAATAGCCCTAAATAACAGAAAATATTTCTATATTTTAGTAAAAATGGTACTTGTTTTTAGAATTTGTATACCTTTGCAGAGGGTAATATCATTTTGGTCAAAAGTGTGCAACGCAGTGAAGGAGACATCTCCGACCCATAAAGTATATATATTCTTGATCAGGATCACCTCCTGAGTTGATATAAGCATGTCCATCTGTCCGTCTGTCTGTTTCTACGCGAACTAGTCTCTCAGTTTTAAATATATCGAATTGAATCTTTGCATACACCCATCTTTCCTTTGCACGCAGTATAAAAGTCGGAACGGCCGGAATCGGTCGACTATATCTCTGATATATCCATATAACTGATTAATCGGAAATGCCATAACTTTGGTGTTTGTAAAGTTAGGAAGTTAAAATTTTCTATGGGTTTTATTTTGAATCCGACCTACCAAATTTCATAAGGATCGGCGCCTATATCCTATAGCTGCCATATAACTGAACGATTGGAAATGCCCTAGCTTTGGTGTTTTTAAAGTAAGGAAGTTTGGTTTTTTTATGAGTATTAAGAGTGCATGATATGAATAATTTTGGAGAATATAATTTACAGAATATAGCTTTACTTTCTTGTTTTATTTTGTTTTACTGGAATCACTTGTTATCTGGCCAATTTGATCGTAGTTTGACATAAAAATTAACCATATGGTTTCTTTTTCGCTTTTAAAATACCGCGGCATGTGCGTATAGATTTATCAACTTGATTATAATTTGACATACAAATAAACCAGATGTTGGCCAAAGAAAACTTATTCTGCCCAGATATTCCACAAATGTAATCTCCAATTTTTTATGAAAGCGAAAACTACAATCAATTGGCCTGATAATAAGTGATTCCAGTGAAATAAAATACAAATATTTCATAAGCACAATTTTTATAGATGCGCGTTTGGTTGAGCAAAAATCTTTTAAAATAGCATTTTTTACAAACATTTTTGCGCCCATGGACAATTTATTTTTTTCGAAATAACGATTTTTAAGCTGTGGGCAACCGATTTTTGTTAAAAATGCGTGTTTTTGTAGTTTTTGGATTTTTATACACTTGCAGAGGGTATTATAATTTTAATTAAAAGTGTGCAACGCAGTATAAAGTATATATATTCTTGATCAGGATCACCTCCTGAGTTGATATAAGCATGTCCGTCTGTCCGTCTGTCTGTTTCTACGCGAACTAGTCTCTCAGTTTTAAAGATATCGAATTGAAACTTTGCACACAGCCTTTGCACTTTCCTTTGCACGCAGTATATAAGTCGGAACGGCTGGGATCGGCCGACTATATCCTATAGCTGCCATATAACTGAACGATCGGAAATGCCATAACTTTGGTGTTTGTAAAGTTAGGAAGTTGAGATTTTCTATGGGTTTTATATTTGGCCAATCAATCCGACCTACAAAATTTCATAAGGATCGTCCGACTATATCCTATAGCTGCCATATAACTGATTGATCGAAAATGCCATAACTTTGGTGTTTTTAAAGTTAGGAAGTTGGGATTTTTTATGAAGAGTGCATCATATGAATAATTTTGGAGAATATAATTTACAGAATATTCTGCAAGGGTATTTCAACTTCGGCTCCGCCCGAAGTTAGCTTTCCTTTCTTGTTTTATTCTTAGTTGTTAGGAGATGGGCAAAGATAGGCATCTATTAATTTTTTCGAAATAACGAATTTTAAAGGGCGGGTAAACGATTTTATGGTTCAATGATTAAGCTATTCAAAATTCAAAAATTCGATTTTAGTCGACCAAACTTCTTTGAGCTTATTGTTTTGTAATAACTGCAAGGGTATATAAATTTCAGCTCCGCCCGAAGTTAGTTTTTTTGTCTTGTTATACCCTTGCAGAGGGTATTATAATTTTGGTCAAAAGTGTGCAACGCAGTGAAGGAGACATCTCCGACCCTATAAAGTATATATATTCTTGATCAGGATCACCTCCTGAGTTGATATAGCCATGTCCGTCTGTCCGTCTGTCTGTCCGTCTGTCTGTTTCTACGCGAACTAGTCTCTCAGTTTTAAAGATATCGAATTGAAACATTGCACACACCCTTCTTTCCTTTGCACGCAGTATATAAGTCGGAACGGCCGGGATCGGCCGACTATATCCTATAGCTGCCATATAACTGATTGATCGGAAATGCCATAACTCTGCTGTTTGTTAAGTTAGGAAGTTGGGACTCTCTATGGGTATTATATTTGGCCAATCAATCCGACGTACCAAATTTCATAAGGATCGGACGACTATATCTTATAGCTGCCATATAACTGATTGATCGGAAATGCCATAACTTTAGTGTTTGTTAAGTTAGGAAGTTGGGATTTTCTATGGGTTTTATTTTTGCCCAATCAATCCGACATATCAAATTTCATAAGGATCGGCCGACAATATTCTAAAGCTGCCATATACATAACTGAACGATTGGAAATGCCATAACTTTGGTGTTTTTAAAGTTAGGAAGTTTGGATTTTTTATGAGTATTAAGAATGCATCATATGAATAATTTTGGAGAATATAATTTGCAGAATATTCTGCAAGGGTATTTCAACTTCGGCTCCGCCCGAAGTTAGCTTTCCTTTCTTGTTAGGGTTAATTTTGATATGAGTGCACAAACTGATCTATTTCCGCACATATAGTTCGATCTGAAATGACCCCGGAAAAGCGAGCCGTGAAAAGTAATTGACAAACATTCGGAGGCGTCGACACATTTATGCACTCCTCAATTGTATAATTGTATAATTTAAAATCCTTAAATAAGAATTAAAATGTCTTTTGAGACCTGGTTTTATTTGTACAGTTCCTTAAACTAACGTAAATGTCTTATTTGCTTCTTTATCTAAGCCTTTCATTCCCATTTAATATCAATTTTTAATCTTGCCTAAAGCTAACTAATTCGGTTTGTAAAAAGAATAAATAGCAACTATAATAATATTATTAGCATATTAATGTTAATAGTTGTTAATAAAAGTTATGGAATCAATTAATTTATCAATTTAGCAAGAATTAAATGTTGTTCCAAGTTCATAATAATTTCAAAATCAAGTTAGATGGTATTGACAATAATGGGGAAATAATAGTTTGATATCTTATGTATTTTGTTAAAACTTGATATGCCAATATTGTCAAGATATCAAGCTTCTTTGGAAGACTATATACTGGTTTTAATTCTACAGTTCTCTAAATTCCAACTTAAAAAAAAAGAACAGTTTAATATTTATCTCATTTAATTTGTATCTTTATTTTTGTTCAAAGTAACGACATAACAAAGATAGGGGTTGTAAAAAAAAAAGAATATACCATTTATAATGCTTCTAGAAAAAAGTGGTTGAATGCTGAAGATGAAGCCTAGGAATATTGGAAGTTTGAAATCTTTGATTGACTTTCATCCGTGCGGCAGCAGTGCCTCCTTAGAGCTTCCAGGCGGCCAAGAGACCGGCGATCATCAGGGACACGGACAGGAATCCCTTGAAGGCGGAGTCGCGGG